TGTGAAGTGTGAAGCAGATATGAAGTGTGTGTGTGTATGTGTGTGTGTGTGTGTGTGTGTGGCTTGTCCCTGTGTTCTCCTTATTTCTTACTAATCCTTCCGGCTCTGGGCCCTGACATAGCCTGGAACCATCCAGTCAGCTGTGGGCAGCTTCTGTTCCTTCTCTGTTCACAGGACAGAAGTAGATGCCGTGGGCGCCCTTCTCATCACTTTTTGGGGAAGTGGGGTTACTTCTAAGTCTACCAGATTCTCTCCTGGGCATTGGGGGCATTACCAGGCCAGTCGTGACGTGCAGGAAGACCGCCTCCCTCTGCTCTGACTCCACACCTGAGAGGGTCTGCATGGGCCCATCTGTGTGAGTCTGGGCTGAAATGTCAGGGTGAAAAGACTTCTTTAGAGATGGGGAGAACTGGGGTGTCCAGGTTGCCCCAGGACTCAGTGCTCCCCCAGTGGCCTGGGCCTGGGGAAGGGGCTTTTTTTCTGGGTCTGCAGCCAGCAGGAAGTGGCACTCCTACCCAGTGTGCTCTCACAAGGCTGTCCCCTATTCCTGCGGGATGAGAGCAAACCAGAGTCCCAGTCTCCCAGGGCCTTGTGGCCCCAGCTGACCCATGCCCTCACAAAATCGTGTCAAGGGCCAGAGGCCACTCCATGGGGCCACCTCCCGTCACCCTTGGCCAGAGACATCCAGATGAGCCCTCAGTGATAAGGTTTTTTTTTGCTTTTTTTGGGGTCACACCTGGCAATGCACAGGGGTTATTCCTGGCTTTTCACTCAGGAATCACTCCTGGAGGTGCTCAGGGGACCATATGGGATGATGGGAATCGAACCCAGGTCAGCCACATGCAAGGCAAACACCCTACCTGATGTGCTATCGCTCCAGCCCCTCTGTGATACTTTTCAATGCAGCTGGAACTGCTTTGAGGGAACCAAAAAGTATCAGTCCCATGTCTATTTCCTGTAGCAAAAGTGGATTTTTTTTTACTAGAACTCAGAATCTCCTGGGAGAATCTCTCTGAAAGCAATGACATTTTTATTTTCTTTTTCTCATCTGTACTCTGCACCATATCTGCCAGGGTGGCATCTGTGTAGGGGTGTGTGTGTGTGTGTGTGTGTGTGTGTGTGTGCGCGCGCACACACACACACATGGGCAAAGCTTTCAGAGACAATCACACACACACACACACACACACACACACATCTAACTGCAGATTAGAGGCGAGGCCATCTCACTTCCTACTTAAAAGGATTCATCAATGGGTTTTCTTAGTGACTCCTCACCCTCTTGCCAGCTCATCTGATGCATCAGTTTCCAGATCCTGAATTCTATGACTGTTTAGGAAATGCATTAGTTTAGAGTGAGGACAACGAAGAGACCAAGAACCTTAGAATTAAAAGCAGAAGTTATGTCCGTGGATCATCAAACACAGCTGGGGAAGGGTTCTGAAAATCCAGCCCTGCTATTTGAAGAATGAGGCCAAGAATCTGTTGATCTTCTCATTTCCGCTTCCCCCAACATTGGCTCATTAAATATTTCCTCGATCTTCCCCCTCATTAACTATTAACAAATCGCTCGAATCGATTTCCCGCCTTCCCAGAGCAAAAAGTGGCTCCTTTGATGACATAAGCCTCTGCGGAAATAAATTCTGCTGGGTTTTAGGGATGACTTTCTTCCTGCACGTTTCCTCCGTGGAGCACTGGAACCGCAAGAGCAGGAGGCAGTGGACGCAGTGAGCCCCCGACCCACAAACATACCCACAGACAAAGTCACAGATATGGCCACAGATACATACAACCACAGACACAGTCACAGACACACACATGGCCACAGATACAGCCACAGACATAGTTGCACATATGGCCACAGAAATGGTTACAGACACAGTCACAGTCACAGACATGGCCACAGAAACGGCCACAGATATGGCAACAGACACAGCCATAGACACAGTCACAAACAGGGCCACAGATACAGTCACAGACACAGCCACAGACTTGGCCACAGACATGGCCAGAGACATGGCTCCTGACAAGACACCTGACACAGCCTTCCGCCACAGTCAGACAAGGGCCCTGACACAGCCCCGAGACTCCACCACAAATCCAGCCACAGCATGGCCACAGACACAGCCCCCAGACACGGCCAGAGCACAGTGAGCACTCTCATGCCTGCAGCTCTTTCCCATCACCTGCTCTGCCCCTTGAGATGCGGGAGGGAAGAACTGCACATCCCACTGGACAGAGCAGGTCACCTGGGAATACGGCCTTGGCAGCCGGCCCAAGAGCTCACAGAGAGAACAGGTGTCCAGGGAGGAGCCCCTAAGCCCCAGTGAAGGAGAGGCAGTGGCAACCCCCTTACAGGGCACGAAAAGAACAGATAGTTTCTGAAATCCCGAATTCTGAGAACTGGCCTGAGCCCAGGGGATCCTGGGAGGTCACTCTGCAACAAGGGTTTCTGGAGACATGAGACTAAAGTGCTTCTTGGGTTGACAGTTGTGCTCAGAACTGACCCCACAGGCATCCCAGTTCTCCTGACACCCCAGAAGACCCCCTTGGCATGGACAGAGGGCTGACCCCTGCCAGGACACTGCTTCTGCTTGGACATCTGAGGAACTAGCAGATTTAGAGAGAGAGAGAGAGAGAGAGAGAGAGAGAGAGAGAGAGGAGAAAGAGAGAGAGAGAGAGAGAGAGAGAGAGAGAGAGAGAGAGAGAGAGAGGGGGGGAGGGAGGAGAGAGGGAGGAGGGAGGAGAGAGTGCGCTCGGAGCTGGAGTGCAGGCTTTGCACATCGCCCCCCCCCCAGCAGCACCTGGTACCCCCCCCCCCAAGCACCTCTGGGAGCACCAGCCAGGAGTAGCCCCTGGCTCCAAGCCAACAACAAGCACATTCTTGACAAATACCCCCTTGCATTACTTGGTAGCCTTCCCACCACCCCATCCACTTGCACCCCACACCCCACACCCCCTCAGGGCTGCTCACTCCAACTGGGCCCCAGACACCCTACCAGAAGCTTCTGCCTCAGTGCCCAGGCAGGATGCAGCCCTCTGTTCAGCCACTGGACAATTCCCCCAACCCTTTTTTTTGCCAGAACCATTTTCTGGTCTTTCACCCATCACGGACGCGATCCTCGGCTACAATCACTTCCATTTCTTGTAGCATTTTAATGGCTTCTGATGGACCCCTTGCACTGAAACAGACCAGAGGGTCTCTTGGGAACCTACCCTGTCCCTGCAGCCGCCTGCACTGTCCCTTCCCTTCCAGTATCCTCCTATACCTGGTCCTGTCACACCCCATTCTGCAGTGAGGGAAAGAGAGGAGCCTCTTTCCAAAACCCTGCCAGTGTCCAGCACCCGGGACGCGAGCCACCCAGCATCCCCTTAATTATGCCCTCATTTCTAAAGTGAGTCCCATCTCCACGCCATGTGTCACTGTCCCCTGTTCCGCGTCTTCCTCTATCTCATCCGGAGATGTCAGTGTAGACTAGCTGCCTCCTCGATCCCCAGTACCTGGGACCCCAGCTTCCCTCTCCGCATTGCTACTGGGCACCCTGAGTTGGATGGAACAGCCCCCGGGGACAGGGGGTGGGTGTCTGTGTCACTAACTGGTCCCCGTCCTCCTCAGCAGCCCACAGTCAGCAGGAAGACCTGCTTGCAAGTTTGTTTCATCCTAGGATCTCCGTCATTTGGGGGCTCTGAGCACCTGGCCTGCGGGAGGAGGGGAACACAGGAAGTGGCCAGCGAGTGGGGACACTCAAGTTTCCGTTTCCCGTCTTCTTTTTCGTTTTGGGTCACCCACCCGGCGATGCTCAGGGGACCCTAAGGGGTGCTGGGGATTGAACCCAGGTCAGTGGCGTAGAGGCAAGCCCCAAGCCACTGTGCTGTTGCTCCAGCCCCTGCTTCCAGTTCTTTCTGTGGGGCTCTGGCTTTCCACCTCTGTTCCCCCACTCTTCACCTGCTGGGACACCCATTCTCCATTCGCTTGCTGCCCCCTGCTGGTGGGAGGAGCTCAGGTCCCTTCTATGCCCGATTGGCCTGACTGGCACCAGCAGGCAAATCAGGTCCCTCCTTCCCTGCGGGGGAGGTGAGCACGGTCATCAGGGATGTGGGGACTTGAATGTGTGGCCCACCCCCGACTCCTGGGTTGCAGCGGTGCATGCATCCTGCACCCCATCTGCCAGTCCCACTGCCTAGGTCTCTGAGGGCCATCTGAGTGGTCTCTGATACCCACATAGCACCTCAGGCCACTCCCTCATTGTGGGGAGACTGACCAGGGGGACAGACGGCTCAAGGGCTGGAGCTCAGGGTCTGCCGGGCCCAGTTCCCAGCACGCCTGGTCCCCCGAACAGCCAGTAGTAACTCCTGAGCACTGTATCAAGAAACCTGAGCCTTGCCGGGTGTGGCCAAAAGCCCAGAAAGAAAAGAGAACAGGTTCTTTAAGAGTGATTGGGGCCCGAGCAATAGGCCAGCAGGTAGGGTACTTGCCTTGCACGCAGCCAACTTGGGTTCTGTCTTTGGCATCAGGTAGGGTCCCGCGGGCACACCGGGAGTAATTTGAGCACAGAGCCAGGAGTAACCCCTGAGCATTGCTGGGTGCGAACCCGAAAGTCAAAAGAAAAAGAAAGGGGGGGGGGGGAAAGAAGGAAAGAGCTGGGAGGACAGTTGTCACCTAGCAGGAGTCATGACCCCCAAGACACACCTGTCTGGGCCTGTGGCAGTGGGACTGCCCCAACACCCCTGTTTTGTAACCATACTTCTCAGGGGCACACTCCAAGACCCCCAAGTCCTAGGCTGGACCCGCTTAATTTCCACGTTGACCAATTTCTGTTAGGTTTTCCCGCCAACACAGCAAATGTTCTTCAGGGGATGATTTGTGACCCCCCAAGACTCCCACTATCCTGGTGCTCTGGCAGCTCGGGGTGTGCGGGATGGGGTCTCGCTCCTTGGGGGCTCCGGGGAAGGACAGAAGGACGAGCCCTGTGTGACAGTCTCCCTTGGTCTCTCCCCAGGCAGCCCCTGAATACCAGAGCCTGCAGCGAGACCTGCCCTACCTGGACATGGTGATTGCCGAGACCCTGAGGATGTACCCGCCAGCTTTCAGGTGCCCCCTGCGGTCACTCGCTATAGCAAGGGTGTTTCCTTTTGGAGACCAGCCTCCCTGCTGGCCGCCTCCTCCCTCTCTCCACCCATCCATCCATCTCCTCTTCCTCCTGCCTAACTTCCTCCCTCCTTCCTTCCCTCCCTCCCTCCCTCCCTCCCTCCCTCCTTCCCTCCCTCCCTCCCTTCCTTCCTTCCTTCCTTCCTTCCTTTTCTCCTTCATCCTTCTTCCTTCTCTTCCTTCTTTCCTTCTTTCCTCCCTCCCTCCCTTCTTTCCTTCTTTCCTTCCTTCCTTCCTTCCTTCCTTTTCTCCCTTCATCCTTCTTCCTTCTCTTCCTTCTTTCCTTCCTTCCTTCCTTCCTTCCTTCCATCCTTCATCCCATTCTCTCCTCCCTTCCTTCCCTACCTACTTCCTTCCTTCCCTCCCTCCCTCCTTCCTTCCTTCCATCCTTCCTCTTGTTCATCCTTCCTTTCTCCTCTTCCTTCCTTCCCTCCCTCTCTTTCTTCCTTTCTTCCCCTCCCTCCTCCCTCCCCCTCTCCCTGGATCCCAAGCTATCCCTGAGCTGTCCCTGAGCTGTGTGGAGATCACCTTGCAGTGACAGAGCAGAGTGCCCCCCACACCCCCCCCCAAATGCTGAGCTGTCCTCCTGCTGCCCCTTCTCAGCCAGCCCTGTAAGGGCATCAGGGAAGGCACCGCCTGGGGACCCCCGCCTGTGACCAGTCCCCAGCGGGGTTGGGGAGGACTCCTTCAAGAACAGGGGCCCATTTGTGAAAGTCCCTTCTGAAGGTGGCCCTTAGTGCCAGTCGGGGGAGGCCCAAGTTCAGGTCGCAACCTGGGGTTTGTGCATCCAACACTGCTCTTGCTCTACTGTCTGCTGGGTACAGGTGCCTGCTCCCCGCCACCTGTGAGGGGAGACTTGGGGGTGTCTCTCAGGAAACAGCTTGGCTGGGTGGGGGAGGGAAGGGTAAGCGCCTAGCAGGCACAGAACAGCCTCACCTCCTCCTCCAGGCAGGCACCAAGGCAGCTTTAGTTCCTCCTCCTCCAGGCAGGCACCAAGATAGCTGTACTTCCTCCAGTTGGGCTCTTTCAAAGCTCAACTCCCTAACCTCATCAACCCACAGAACTGCACTGGCCAGAGAGAAGCACGCTTTGCAAGCAAGATCCCAGGCTCGATCCCCAGAACCCTCCTGAACACTAGAGGGAGTAGACCCTGAGCACAGAGGCCAGAGTAGCCCCAAGTGCCGCCAGGTATCCCCACCTCCCCGTCCCCAAAGCCACCAAATTGTGAGGTGAGTCGTTACTCCTCTGTCCGACAAGAGGCTGATGTGCATTGACCCAGGCACAGGATTTGGAGGCAGATCTAGAAAAGGAGGGAGATTGTTTTGTTTTGTTTTGCTTTGCTTTTAATTACTGCTTCACCTTGTGATACTGTATTTCAAAGGCTTCCCTCTCAGGAAACACTTTCCCAAGTCTGAAGCACGCAGCAACTTAGCTGACGCCCTTCCCTGAGGAAAAAAAAACTCACAGAAAGGCCTTTGCAGGAGACAGCAAGAGTCCCGCTGACGGGCTCTGGGCGGGAACCCAGGTCCTCTGCAGCAGATTGTTCTGGTCTTTGATGTGGTCAGATCTGAGGCCCAGGCACGTGCCGAAGGGAAGACCCTGTTTTCCGGCTCCCAGGGAGGAGTCTTGCAGCCAAGTCTAAGCTCTCTCCGGTAAAGATTTTTAAAAAAGGAGTGGCAGAGGGAGCCGTGCTTGACCTCTGTAGACTGGAGGTCCCACTCGTGGCCCCCCCAACCCCACCTGCTCTGACTCGAGTGTTGGGGTGAGGCTGTCATCTCCAGCCAAGATGAACCACGCCGGGAGTTCAGGCCCTCGCTGAGGGTTTCCAGCCCAGCCTTTCATGTGCTGTGCAGACTGTTTAATACTGACATATCCAAGGCTGGTCTCTTAAGGGCTCCTAGCCGAATGACAGATGTGTGTCGCTCTTAATCTCTTCAAGCGGGACCCAGGTGTACCGGTAATTAGGGAAATCTTCTCATCTCCTCTCAGATATTCAGGGAAGCCCAGTTCTGGAGCAGGAAATACAGATTGGCATTGATGACTTTGAACTTGTAAATAATTCTTTATCACGCAAATAACGTGCTGTCTTACAAACAAAACACTATCCGGACAATACAGAGGACGCAGGGGAGAAATGGCCCCTCTGGATGATGATCAGGGGCGACCAAGAAGCAGGAGCGGAGCTGGTTTTTCCCAAAAGCTTATGCCCATGTGCAAATGTGGAGAGTCCGACTTTCAAGCATCAATGGAAGGCCAGAGAGATAGGGCAGGGGTAAGGCCTGGTACACACGGACCCTGATTCCATCCCTGGCACCACATATGTGCCCTTCTAGGAGTGACTCCTGAGCACAGGAGTAAGTCCTTGAGCACCACCAGGTGCGGCCCATCTCACCCTCACCCCCTCACATCCCTCAAATAAATATTTTAAAATATATAAAACAATAGGTGGGCTAAAGAGATAGTACAGCGGGTAAGGCTCTTGCCTTGCATGCATGCAGCTGACCCAGGGTCAATCCCACCATCCCCTTTGGCCCCCAGAGCCCCTGTAGGAGTGATCACTGAGCACAAAGCCAGAGTAAGTCCTAAGCACTGCTGAGTGTGGCCCCAAAGCAAAAATTAATAAATAGAACAAACATCAATGGGATTGCACCGTTGCCACTCAGTAATATAAACTCGTGTTAAAGGAGGGGTTGATGAGGCTGGATGCAGTGCCAAGGGCCGGGGGTGTCAGGGGAGTACCCAGGCCACCAGAAACAAGCTCGTCAAAGAGCCCTGTGTACGCTGGCTCCAGGACTAAGGTGGACTCTTCTGCTGACCCGCGGCTGAGTGGGGCGGGCCGGTGGCAGCTCCAGGAAGAGCATCGCTGGGTGCTGGGGAGTAGCGGAGACTTACAGGAACCCGAGGCTCCGGTGGGCTGACTTCATTCACCTCAAACCAGAGTCCACTTGCCCCAGCACGTCCACCTCCAAGCTGTCCACCTTGTCACTGCTCTGGTGACATCAAGGCGGGGTGACCCCTGTGTCCCGCAGGTTCACGCGGGAGGCGGCGCGGGATTGCGAGGTGCTGGGACAGCGCATCCCGGCGGGCGCTGTGCTGGAGATGGCAGTGGGGGCCCTGCACCACGACCCTGAGTTCTGGCCGGAGCCCGAGGTCTTCAACCCAGAGAGGTGAGCGCGCCCCATTCCCCGCCCACTCCCACACGCCCCGCCCCACGCCGCAGCCCCACCACCGCCCCTATGCACTACCTCCGCCCCCTATGCGTTAATCCCGCCCCTGCGCGCTAGCCCCGCCCCCTTTCACAGCCCCGCCTTCTGCCACTTGCTGGTGGGGGGTGGGGAGGCCTCCTTGCATGACCTGAGCCACCTGGGGACCCACGCTAGGAAAATCTACTCTGTCCCCAAGCACAGCAATTAGGTGGAGGTGTCCGAGGCTCATTCCCCCGAGGAAATATATAGGGCTGCCATTTAAATACTCCTGCGAGTCTAGAGTGAGTTCAGCAGGTCGCTTTGCATGAGAGGAGACTGACCCGTGTTCTGTTCCAGGCACCACATATGGTCTCCAGCCTTGCCAGGAGAAAGCCCTGAGCACCCCGGGTGTAACCCCAGAACAAAACAGACTCAGCACACTCCAAAGCACTGACCCTCCCCCATGTCCCCATCCCACTCCAATTTAACAAGGTATCTTCAAACGGGTGGCCTCGGTGAGTCAGCGGAGAGGACCCACAGGACCATACCTTGGTTCCCTGGAAAGGAACCCAGCTTTTCTTTTTTAATTTTGTACAAAATTTGGGCTTGATCCATGAATGCCAACTAAATTTCCCCTCCAGGTCACAGAATCTCTTGCTGGGTCTGAGTCACTGTCTAAAGTTCATTTCCAGCTCCCCTGATTCAAATGTCTGAGTAGGGACTGGGGCGATGGCTCAGAGGGCTGGCACTGGCAGACCTGGTGCACGAGGCCCTGAACTACATGGTCTCCTGAGCACTACTGGCTAGAGGCCTGGGAATCCCCCGGCACTGCTGGGACAAATGCTGAATCCCCCTGTGGGTGCGGCCTCTGAGCATGGCTTGGGAGTTTCCCTGCTCCAGTAGGATCCACTGAGACCCCTTCCTTATGTGATCTTGCAAGGGGCGAGCAGGGGGACCTGCATTTCGCAGGAAGAGCTTCCGGGAAGTTCCAATCCCATCATGACAGTGGTTCAAGTCCACAGCTTGGACAGACGGGCATGCCTTGGGGAACACCAGTGAGGAGGACAGGTGCTGGGGCACTGTGCTGGGACTATGGTGACGGCCATGTTGCCTTGCGGATGACAGGCAGGAGGACAGAGTGTGAATTCTTAGGGCAAGACTGTTCTTTCCAGGAGGGGAGTCCCCAGCTGCAAAGCCTGAGGGGTGGGTCCTGGAGGAAAGGGGACCCACAGGAAGTTCCCACAATCAGACCAGGCCAAAGAGGCCTTGGAGTTCCCCGCCAGCCCCAACTGTGCCACCCACCCACAGGTTCACAGCAGAGGCCCAGCGACACCGGCGACCCTTCACCTACCTGCCATTCGGGGCAGGCCCCCGGAGCTGCCTTGGGGCGCGGCTCGGGCTGCTGGAGGTCAAGTTGACGCTGCTGCGCATTCTTAGCAAGTTCTACTTTCAGGCCTGTGAGCAGACTCAGGTGAGCCCCAGCCGTGGGACCAGGCGGTTCAGCTGTTTTTATTATTGATCCCTGGAGCACAGGGCTGGGCTGTCCCAATGTCCTGCAGTGGTTTCACTGGGCCCAGGCTACAGGCCAGGGATGAAGTAATGTGTAGCAGACCAGAGATAGGACATGTGTGTGTGTGGGGGGGGTGGGGGGGGGCACTGCCAGGTGTGGCGCTCATGGCCTTGGCACCTCTGGCCCAAACAGCATCACAGCCTTGCGTTGCTTTGGTTTGGGTTGGGGGACCATACTCAGCAGTGCTCAGTCTTAATCCTGGCTCTGTGTTCAGGGATCACTCTTGGGGGACCGGGGATCCAACCTGGGTGGGCTGCATGCAAGGCAAGTTCTCCGCCTGCTGTACATTCGATCCGGCCCCCATCCTCACATGGAACTCCAGCCTCATTCGACAGAATCGAGGGGACACTCTGGTGGAGAGTGGAGTGCTGGATTGTGTTGTGATTGTGTTATGCATGAAACATGAAACCCAGTCATTAACGGTACTGGAAACCATGGTGCTTTCATTTGAAAAAAAAATTTTTTTTTGCTTTTGGGTCATACCCGGCGATGCTCAGGGGTTACTCCTGGCTCATGCACTCAGGAATTACTCCTGGCGGTACTCAGGGGACCATATGGGATGCTGGGAATTGAACCTGGGTCAGCTGCGCGCAAGGCAAATGCCCTACCTGCTGTGCTATTGCTCCAGCCCCTCATTTGAAAAATTTTTTAAAAGGGAGTTGGCCATCAAGCCCTCTGAACACTGCTTGGGAAGCCCCTCCCCCAAAAGGAAAAGTCCTGAGAGATTGATTTTCCTAAAGTCAGAGTTGGACCGGGGACTCCCAGGGTGTCCTGGCGTCCAGCACTGAGCCCGATGCTCTCGGAGCGCAGTGCTCACTCCCTCTTCAGGCACCTAAAGGTAACAAGCCCGCGAACGCCGAGGGGCTTCTAACCCCGCACCGTGCTCCCTCCTGAGCCGCCTTCCTCTTCTCTGGCCCTGCCCCAACACACACCAGTGCACTGCTCACCGCCCCAACCCAGGCCACACCGGTCCAGCCACCCAGTACCCTCTTCTCGGCTGCAGACCTGGACAACGACAGAGCAATGCACAGTGCCAGACGGTGACAGGGTCACATGCAGAGAGAGGCATGGAGACTGGGACAGGCTGTGGTCCCTGAGGAACCATGAGACATCCCAGCCTTGACTGTTCCTTCAAATCCCCTAATGGTCCCTGAGAAGTCCTGTTCACACAGCTTCTCCCTCCCCTAGTCCCACCCCAGCATCCTCTCCTCCAGGCAGTCCTCCCTGATTTGGCCAACCCCAAAGGCTTCTCCTTTTTTGAAGTCTTACGGTGTTTCAAGGTTGTCTAGATGTGCTCCATTTGCTGCAACAGTCACTAAATAATTTTCTATTAAAATTTAGGGTGATGGGGTCTCCCAAGGCGTGCACAGGAGCCCAGGTTTCCTTCCCAGAGATTTTTGGCCAACTGGGCCTGTGGCCCAATGAAAGAACCTGAGGATATCTGCTGCAAAGACCCCAAAGCACCGGGGTATCTAGGTCACCCCAACAGTGCAGGGGGTCTCCAGGATGCTCCCGCTGTGGAGCTCAAGGGAGCAGTTACTGGAATCTAACTAGGTCTTTTGCAATTGTCTATACTCCTGAAATTTGAAAGTAATGACATAGAATAGGAAGTGCTTCCCCTGAGCCAAAGGTGGCCCACAGGGCTGGAATACATGCTTTGCATGAGGAAGGATGGAGGTCTCCCAGCCTCATGTGATCCCCAAGAGCTGCTGAATGTGACCTCTGAGCACTGTACCTGGAGGAGCCCCTGAGCACTGCTTGATATGACCCAAACGCCAACAGAGTGGGCCATTCTTTTCACAAAGGAACCACGTTTTGAGGGCTCCACGAGGCTGCGGTAGCACAGGATTAGAGCATCCTGTTTTCAGGGTCACAGCACTCATCTTGCTTTCTCAGAACCCTCAAAGATGTGTGCAGAGCTGGTGGGGACCAGTACTGAGGCTAGGTGAATAGTGTTCCCCCACTGTGGAGGATGCTTGGTCCTTCCTGCCTGGCCCTCCTGCACCCCCAGTCCACTTCCTGTGTACTCACTCAGCACTGCTTCTGAGTACTTTTACTGGCGATCCGTCAGCAGCGACAAATGTCTCCATTTCCTCCATTCAGATCCCGCTCCAGCTTGAGTCCAAATCTGCTCTCGGGCCCAGAAATGGCGTTCACATCAAGCTCGTCTCCCGTGACAATGGGGTGCCCAGCAAGCCCCGACTCTGAGAAAATCACTGTATGGAAATTTGAACTTTGGGGGAAACACCCCTGCAGCACCGGAGGGGTCCCTTGACCTGTGAGGATGTGAGGTCACTTGGCTGACATTCCCTAATGGCTTAATAAACCTTTGTTCTCACCTCCACTCTGCCAATGGCGCAGGAGGACTGTGAAGCTCCCTCAGTGACAGGAGGCTGGGAAATAAGCCCAAACGCCTTCTGATGGGAGACAAAGGTGGCACCAGGAAGGGCGCCAGCCTCAGGATGGAAGGACGCCTGGACATGCTAGTGGGGTGATGTGCCCATGGAGAGGCCCACGGCTCCTGCCAGGGTTGCAGATCTCCCAGGTTTGACCGGTCAGAGTGATAGTACAGTGGGCAGGGCACTTGCCTTGCACGTGGCTGACCCAGGTTCAATCCCTGGAAAACATATGGCCACCTAAGTCCACCAGAAGTGATCCCTGGGTGCAAAGTCAGGAGTAGACCCTGATACCACCAGGTGTGACCAAAATACCAAAAGAGAAAAATAACAAAAAGTCATTCCTCAGAAGCTCCACTTCCAAAGTGATTCAAAAGCACTATTAGGCTTTACTTTCCCAGGAGGGCCATGCCAACTATATAGGAAGTTTCAATGCTAGGAAACTGAGGCAGAAATGGCCTCTATGAGCACTTCCTAATTTGGACCAAAGAATCAAAATTTGACTGAGATTATTGGGTCGTTGAAGTCAAATTCAGAAAAGAACTTGCACCTCCAATCCCAGACCTGCCAAGGGGTGCTGACTGCTGGTCCACTCACCACTCTGTGCCTCGGTTTCCCCATCTGTAATAGAGGGCCTGGCAGCCCAGGTTCCTATGCACGCCTCCTGTCTGATCCTTCCACTTCAGCCTGGAGTACCCAAACTTTCTCAAACTATCCCCACAAGGCTCCCTTCTCTGCCCCCAAAGATGCCGCAGCACAGTCCCTGGTCCCTCCCTACCCTAGGAACTCCTGACCCCTTCTGTGTGCTGACTGAGCACGCCTCATCTCAGTGACCTGGATTCTGACTCACTGGGACAACTCATCAAGTCAGGTGACACCAGCCACACAGCCGCATCCCAGCCTTCTGCGGGCTGTTTGCAACCCCGCCCACCTCAGCACCCTGAAGGTGGGTACCCACCTCAGACAGCTGTGAGGCTCCCTAGAATGCAGAAAGGCTGGGCCCCCATTCATAACCCCCAGCTGAGACTCAGCTCAAAGCCCCTCATTTTGCTCAACACTAGCCAACCCAGGGCAGGTAATGTCAGGAAACGCTTCCAGCTGCTCCAGCCTGCTTCTTCCTGGGGCGCTGCAGTCCCCACAGGCCTCACTCTCCGGACCATCTCCATTTCTCCTGCTCCCCAGTCCACCTCACTCCCCACAGCCTGCCCAAAGGGGCCCTCATTTACCTTAAACAACACCCTGGTGGCACCACCGAGTCCCTGAAAAGCAGGCTTGCGATCGGGGACTCTCCAGGGATGGAGAAATGTGGGGCTCTGAGAATTTTGCCACACAACCATGGGACGGGCTCTACAGGACGGATATGGGGGTGTCATTGCCTCGTGTCTCTGGTCACTAAGCACGGGTTGCAGATGCTGCTGACCTGGCTTAGGTTCCGGATTATTCCCTCTGCTTGTTTCACAGATGAATTAAACTGCCTTGGGTCGGAATGACCGAACACATTTGATTAGGAAAGTGGGGCGTGGGGGAATGGATAGGCCCTCCTGAGGAAGAGGGAGTCCAGGTGGAAAGGGCAGAGGCCTGGAGGCTGAGCCGCCTGCTGATGCCTCTGCCCTGACCACACGCCACCAATGGGCAGCAGACATGCAGACATGATTTTTGGCCGGGGATGGGGGATTGTGGCAGGGTGAGGAAGGCCAAGCTGATGCCGTAACCACAGCCTACTCCACTCAGCAGTGAAGCCAGGTTCTCTGGATCTTGTGGGTCTAACAGTGCGGGAAGAGAGAAAACTCACAAAACAAATTCTGCAAATGTTGTCAGACTGTATATGTGACCGATTGTTCCAGCTGTGGAAGGGGCCCCACAGGTGACAATCTTGAACTTTTTGCGCCATCAGCCTGGAGACCCAGGACAGCAGGGCCCTAGACGCGGAACAACATACTCCACTCCTCCACCGTTTCACACAAACCACGTTTATTCTCAGACTCGTGTGACAGTTGCAGCACCATCATCCAAATCCAACAAGGACTTGAACCGAATCCAGCTCAAAAGGGGTTGGCAACTCTGGAGGTGTGGGGAAGCCCCCCACTGCGGCTACCTCCGAGGCCAGAAGCCCAGGAGTGGCTGCCTGAGTCAAAGCAGGGTCACCCAACCCCCACAGATGTTGCATGGGCCTCCACTATTACACCACTGGGGAGAAGTGACTGGTCCCATAGGCGCCTCTCCCTCCCCACGGAAGACTAGAGAGACAAATTCTTCAAATTAAAATCAATCCATAAAACAGTACCTGAGCTGTGTGCATGGGGAGCAAAGTCACTGAGAGTGAACAGTAAAACCTTAATATCTTAGTAAAAGCAGCCAAGGGGCCTTTGCACAAGCATGCCCCAGTGACTTAAAAGTCAAAACTATCCGCTAGAGATTAGGAATGTAAGCCCTTGGTGAAGGCAATCAAGAAGAGGCCATTAAAATGGTTTAAAATCTAGCCGCCCCACCTCAGAGAGCCATTGCCAAGCACAGAGGCCAGAGAGCACATGGGCACCCTGTTTGGGCAGGTGGGGTTCACCGCCGACCTCCAAAGAAAGAGGACAGGTAGAAAATGCTGGACTGTACCCCCTGGGACAGCCCCGCGTCCCTGTCAGGGGGGGCTGTATAGTGGATGACATACTCGGGATACGCCTGATGCTTCTCGAAGATCACAAAGATAGACGGGTCGGTTACGCTATTGACACAGCTATCATAGAAAAGGTTGCTCTGGCCCTCCCTGGCTGGGGGGCGTACAAAAGTGGGGTTCCCACGGATGAACTCGCCCACCAGCACCCGCGCCACGAACATGGTCTTGGAGTGCAGATCCGACTTGCAGTAGTGGTGCGAGTAGGCGGCGTCTCGGGCGAAGTAGCTCCCTGAAACAACATACAAACACGGCTCAGTGGAGACCCCAAGACCACGGCCCTTGGGACCAGCTGCCACTGTTGGCCCCGGAGATACCCTTAACTCCTGGCACAGACATGACGAGCCTTGGTAAGAACAGTTCTTCCAGGTTCTCATTCTCTGAGCTACTTCAGCCCCATGTCTCAGATGAGATGATCCATCCCAGGAGCCAGAACACCGCGACGGCCTGGCGGCTGAGGATTGGATAGACACCCGGGGTCTCCGCACTGTCATTACATGGGCTGAGACCCTCCTTGCTTGCCAGCCTGCAGGCCTGAGCTGGAGAGAATGACGACACCCCATGTTCCCGCTTCAATGTGGCAGTACGGAAGGAAACCAAGCAAACAGACTGGCAGACGCCGACAAAAATTGCCAATAGAAGCTGTGACAAATATTAAGTGAGGTCACCAATGGGAAAGGGAACTGGGGAGGAAGGGTCACTCTGACAAGGCCATGGCCCCCAACACGGGGCACAACAGAGCTAGTACAGTGAGGTTGGACCTGAGCTCCCCAAATTTTATCTTACTAAAAGCCAATTGCATTTCCACAAAATTTGATCTGTGCCACACTCACAGCCGCTCCCCAAATGCTCAGACAGAGCCTCACCCACAAGTGAATCCTGAGAAAATCCAGGTACGTGGGACTTTGTGACTGAGAACTCTGGGTTCAACGGGACTGGGAATGGAGATCCTCTGCCTGCATCCCCGTCTCTGGCAATTCAGCAGTAGCACCCATAAGCCACCTCTGGCTGGTGCCACATAATCTAGTTATCGGCCACCATCCAGATCACATGTGCTTCTCTCCCGGAAAGGTGCACAACATGACACTCGCCATAACCATGCCACCGGACCCCGCACCAGGCTTTTTCACTTGGGGCGCCCCAGAGGGGAGTGGGTGAAACTCCTCCTCCCCAAGGGACCCAGTCCCAGCAGCCAAAAACCTCCAGAACTCAACCATCACCAGGTTCACGGCCACTCTCCACATGCTTGGGCCGAGCCTCACCCACGAGGGAACCTATTCCTGGACACTTCATACCATACACCCTACCCATACTCCAAGAGTACCACACCACATTTGATGGGGTTCAAAGTAGGAGGCAACCAATCTTAGAGGGAAATATATATATATATTTACAGATATATATATATATTTTACAGATATATAGCACATAAGGAACCTTTAATAACATGTTAGTGATCTCTTACAGAAGGGCTTAATGGCCCCTGGGTAAAATACAACAATCTTCACATTCTTTAAGGATACTTTTCTATAGCATTTTCACCGGTTTTTCCTAACAAACAATACAAAATATATTTTTCAATTCTACTTTGGGGCAGGGATTGGGGTTCGGGATGGAAACATCCAAAATAAGGTGGTGGGAAAATGTAATGGTGGGGGGATTGGTGTTTGAATATTAAGTGAAACCAAATATTGTGAACTCCTTTATAAAATAAAAATTTTTAATTTGATTTTCAATAAGTTTTAAATGGTTTTAGACTAGAAGGCAGCTCTGCCCAGTCTCCGTGGGCTAGTACAGGAGGTGACCAGGCCCCCAGGCCCCAGCGCCCTGAGACCCCCCAGCCCAACACTAGAACCATGAGTCCTGTGGTGAGGAAATGGGTAGAGTTGCCAGCTGAGGTCCAGCCTGACAAGCCTCCTCTGTCCTTGTCCACAGTGACCCCCTCCCCACAGCCACGGTCTTGTCGGGGTCATACTGAGGGACAAGCAATGACCCTGGAACAGGCAGCAGATGAGAAAAATAACACCATGTTTATTCAGCATGGCGCCACGGCACAGCCACAGAAGAGGACATCCTTATCCTCCAGATGCCTGACAGGATGAGGGGACATATGCCACCTCCTAGCTAATGGCGCACAAACACAGAAAAGGGGCTGGCTAAGGCAAGTAAGTGGGTAAGGCGCTTGCCTTGCATGCAGCCAACCCGGTTTGATCCCTGCACCTCACATGTCCACTGAGCATTGCAAGGAGAGATTCCTGAGTGCAGAGCCAGGAGTAAGCCCTGAGCATTGCCAAGTGTGGACCAAACTCCAGAAATACACAGAAAAGGAGTGTGAGAAAGCCAGCAGGACCAATGCGGGAACTGACCCATCCAGTAAACACCCATGGGAATTGTCTGGTGTTATTCCCGACACTTCCCTGCATTTGAAACGACTTTCAAATGCTCAGCTAATGTCCTCACAGCAGTTATGCATGGACGCGAGATGTTCTCGCAACAACTCCGGGCCTCTGCCCCACAAACCCGGCTCTGGGAAAGGAAGCCCAGCCTCAGCGCTGTCCCTCTTAAACCTCATGCCAAAGGGGTCAGTCCCCCAAGTCGTGGTCCCTCCGCCCACCTGCGGACAGCCAGATCTCACCCTTGCCATAGGATGTGCCGTGCAGCCCGCAGATCCGCCAGTCAAAGTTCTGCTGGCAGATGGCGTCGACATAGGTGGAGCTGGTGCCATGGAACAGCTGCCTCTCGTCCACCTTCTCGTCTCCATTTCTCTTCTGCATCTGTGCCTTTTGCCTAGAGTCGCAGGAGAGCTCAGAGGCTGAGCGTGGCTGCCACCAGACACAGCCATCAGAAGTTGGGGACCCAAGTGTCCTCAGGCCTGCTCAAAGTTCCTGGGAGACTTCACCGATAGGCCGAGAGAAGGGAAGCGGAGGCCCCCACTGCACAGACCCCCGACTCCCAGTCGTGAAACTGCCTGGCCTTGGAGGGCAGTGCTGCACCCCCCACTCCTTTGGTTCTGGGGGTCTCGGCGGGAGGCTACCCAAGTTACCCTGGTTTCCCCCTGCGCTGCTGTGGATCTGCTCGCCCAAGGGCATGCCTAGCCACCAGATCACCTGTCTGTGTGCCAGGGCTGGCAATGCGGAATGGGCACTGATGCGGGTATTGAGTCACAGGGAGGAGAGCTGGCAGGACTGTGGGCGCCAGGCTGCTCACATCAGCAGTGCTCAGCCAGCCTGGCTGGTCCCTGTGCCCCAGAGCAAACACCCCTCCCTCCCCGCCATACACACACACATGCACGCACCACTGGTAAACTTCCCAGAGGGCCAGGTTCTGAACACGCTCGATCTTCTGCACAGAACAGCAAGGCAGCGTTTGGTTGAAGAGTTTCCAGATCTGCTGATACTCCTCAGAGGACGAGTTCAGTAGGATTTTCTGCAAAGGCCAGTGGTGGTTCTGTTACTGTTCCCGCACCACAGACAGCGAGCCCTTCCCCACCTGCCCAGGGGCCATGATGGGCACCTTGCCCCCAGGAGGGCTGTGCTCTTTTCTGGACCCTCACAGGGCAGAGTCCACAGCCAAAGAGACCCCAGAGCAGGAGTCACTGTATGGGGGGGCAGGTTCAGTCCCAGACAGCAGAGGAACCCCCACACGGCTGCCCAAGGAGAGGGGGGTGGGGACAGGGGGCAGGGGACCACCTTTCCCAGAGTGTGGCATTCCGGATGGGCCTGAGAGATCTTGACCACAAGTGGCCAGACTTCACCCAGTGCAACCACCCACCCCTGCCTGAGTCAAGTTGGGCCGAGGGATAGTGCATTTGGGGGTCTCTGGGAAGACCCTCCACATTATCCTCTCCGCCATCCCAAGGGTAGCCCTACAGCCCACGGCACCTGACCCCAGCCCCTGCGTGTGTGAGTCTCCGACCAGTCCAGACCATGGGGCTCTGCCTCTCACCTTCCTGTGGGTCCGTGCCCACCCGCCCCCAGCTACACTGTCAAGGGCTGCCACACGGCCCTAATTCACTGCCCCCTGCGGCTCCCATCACCCGCCCACTCCTCCCCGCCTCTGCCCGTGAGCAGCCCCCAGGGCCACCCTCCCTGGGCCTCCACCTGCCCAGGTGCGGCCATGGAACTCGGCCCTCCATGTCCAACCTCCCGCAGCCACCATCTGTCCTCTTGGCTCATTACATGGAGCACAGGACTGCCCCTGCATGGGCCGGCGGCAGTGGGCAGGGGGACACCAGTGCCAAGGCTAGTGCGAGAGAGCCCACTCAGGGGCACACTGGACACTGGCGGGAGGGTCCTGCCGATTCAGTCAGTCCTCAGAGCCTATCACTAGCACTCCTGTCTTCAGGTCTCTCCCACCAGCAGCTCCTCACCAAACCTCTCACCATACTCAAATCCTCCCCTGCTTTCATTTCAAGTTTTGTTTGTTTTTTTGGCTTAGGAAAACTAAATAGTTCTTGAGTTCTTTATCTCTGCCCTTCTAGAACATTTTCAGCTCATCTTCCTCCCCCCGTAATACACTGTCTCCCTCAGCCATCTCCCCGCTGCCTACACTGCCTTCAAACCCTCCAGAAACCGGGCCAGGAGACAGCAGCACTTAGGCCTATGGCTAGGGTGTGGCGGACTCAGGTTCGGTTTCCAGCCCACGTGGTCTCCAGCATCGGAACATGGACAGCCAGCTGTGACCCTGGAGACCTCTATGTAGCACTGCCAAGGCTACCTACTACATTCTCATGTCCTGGCACTGAAGGGACAGGCCTGCAAGGCCCCCTGAGCAGCATCTGGAAGTCCCACCACGTGATGGATGATTACAGCCTTTGTTCCTGATGCAGGTACCCGCACCTGGGCATCTTCCCAAGACCTGGCCTCAGAAGTTTCTCCAGCCACGATACTCACCTCTGTCAGAGGACACACTGCTTCCCAGCCTAAAGCTGTGCCCTTCCATACCTTAAACCCGGGGTCCGGCAGAGCCGATGGGTCCCAATGGTCTGGGATATTCTTTGGGCCTTGGAAGTTGACATGGCTACAAAATGAAAGCAAAAATGTTAGGACACACAGCAGCGACATCATAGGTGGCCACGAATGCTGACATGAGCCTCTTCTCGGCATCCCAACTGATCAAAGCCAGGAGATGGGGGTGGCCCACATGAAAGCATTGCCACCTTCCTATGTGACCACCCCCACATAAGGCACAGAAGATCCCTTTCTCACCTGCACCCCAATTCTGTGCTTAAGGATGGGAGCCCAGCATGCATTTAGCACACACACACCCTTTTCCACAATTACAAAATTCAAAGAGTGCAGAAACAGTCTTTTAAAATAGTCTCTGTAAAACAACGTTAGCATTTAAAAAAGAGCAGTTTTTCAAAACATAAAATTGGGGACCAAAGGGTGTACAACAGGCAGCTGCTGGCTTGCATATACAATCCCCAGCCATGTATATGGTTGTGGAACACCAACAAGAGTGACTCCTGAGAGCCAGAAACAGCCCCTGAGCACTGCTGAGTGCAGCTCAAAAGCCTCCTTTCCCCCACCACCCAACTGGCTGGGGATGTAGCTCACTAGTCTCACATATGTGATACCTGAGGTTTGATCCCTGGAACCTCAAAAACAGAAGAAAGAAAAAAAAATAAAAACCCATCAAACTGATATGAAGAGTTCAGTGACACAGCAATTTGACTTGAACTGCTAAGTGACAACTTGCAGTGTCTAAATTCTTCTGAGCGTGTCTGTGTATGTTTCACTGCATAAATATGAATATGTATAATTACTGGGTGTCACAAAGCACAAACTCCCTCTATGATCTATGAATAAAAATAAATAAAAGCTTAGTTCTAAAAGACAAATGGCTTAAAAGGGATCAAAGACTGTAAACTAGAACTCCAAATCCAGCCTACTCCGCTTCAGAAGGCGCTTTTCTTCCACAACAAATAGCTCTGCCTTCTGGTTCTGCCGGCAGGAGACACAGACCTTTCTCCTAAACGTCAAAGAACTCCCATAAATAACATCCCAGGGAAAATGGCATGGTTTATAAATAACCAAGCAGGGCTCATGAGTAAGGATCAGCCAAAAGCAGAACCAAGGAGGAAGATGCTGAAATGATCAATTATAAAATTATTCCTTTATGTTTAAAGACAAAATATGAAACAAATATGGAAAGAACAGAAAATTATATGTTAAAAAACAAAACAAAACACCTAGAGGATCGGAAAAAGGACAGAACAGAACTTCCAGGAATAAAAATCCCCACAATTCTAGTTACTGAAAGTTTCACAGGCAGACATCCTTGCAGATCAGAAGCCCCACAAGAAAAGGAGCGAGCTGGACCGCATGGGAAATGAAATCCAGAATGTGGCCCAAACCAGTGAGGAAGTGGAGCAGGTGGGGGTAAGTGGGACATAACGAAGGGCACATACATGAGGCGACTAGAACAGTCTAGAAACAAAACAAGAGCAAGACAGTCCAGGGTTAAGGTACACAAACTCAAGCCCATCCTGATCCCAGGTACCAACCACGTCATCCTCCGGTACTTCTAGGAGCAATTCTTGAGCCTGGGGCTGGGAGCAGCCCCCTAGCACCCTAGCATGTGGCCCCAAAACAACAAAACCAAAACCACTCTTCAAAACCAATACAAGAAATAAAAAAGGAAGATTTCCAAAACTTCAAAAGTATCTCCATGTTATGAAGCCAAAAATAAAATCGTTTGAAGATAAAAACAAAGAAAATAACAGGAGTTCAATTATTACGACTTTCCCTGTCTATATTAGTCTCAAATCAGTTAAGACTCGTTTGTTCTGGAAAACTCTGAGAATATTTTGGCGACGGACTTCCAACACCACTGAACACTCACAGCTAACCATGTGGTTCTTCCTCCCTTATGTTGTTTAGCTTGTCACTTCCATGCTTCATTAGTCGCATGTCCATCATGGTTAGAATAACCCAGAGACACCAGCCGTTCCCAAGTTTACAGTGCATCTTACAGTGTGGTAATACACGCTCACACGTTTCTGCAGGAAGGTGCCAAGAGCGCTTTCATGTGTCACTGTCGTGAATTCCTGGCCCAGTAAGTGAACGCAGGGGCAGAGGCATAGCCCACTCCCCCCACACACACACATTGCACAACAGCAGCCCCCCAGAGGACTGGCACACCAAGTGACAAGGCCCCTAAATGCCACCTACCAGGTCTGCTTTCCTTTTACATCCTTCGGGGACACATATTTGGGTCTGCGGCAAACCTTCCTCACTGTGCTGTAGACCAGGTTTTTCTGAACAAAGGCTGGGGGCGGGAAATGGATATAAGCGCTCAGGTTGGCAATGTTTTACAAACAAATTAAAAAGAGTTAGAAAGCTAATCCAAATGTGCGAAGCTCAGAATCAATCTGTTAAAAATAAGGCAGCTTTTAGACATTTCAAATATTCATAAAGAAAATAGGTATCCTTAGGAGATGGATTTTAATGAATAGATGAATGATTAGTAATTGACATATCAATTATACATAAGTGCTTTTAAATTGTTCCTTCCAATCTTGTTTAAACTATTATTTTGCTTAGCAATTTTTCCCAGCTTGCGTATAAAAAAGCTTCAGCTCAGCCTAAGACCGAATTACCCCATTTTGAGCCAGTGGGACATACAGCGAGGATAATAATATGCTTATGACTTTTTCTCTTAACTTGACCCAACCGACTCTAGAGCAGGCTTTCTCCACCTTTAAAAATCCACACCACCTCTACTAAAATTCTTGCCACACTCCCACCCCCAAGATGTCAGAGTTCTCCTAGGGGCTGGGGAGTCTCCAGCTCTGGAGTTAGAGTCACAAATACCTACAAGTACATGTGGCTGTTCTTACCCTCTACATTTTATCCCAAAGCAACTTTCTTCCTTGGAAGCACAGTCTACAGAACATTCCACCTCACTTGGCCCTCAGTTCCTCTACCCTTCAGGCTCCTGTTCTCCGCACCCCAACCTCCAGGCAGTCTGGCCTGGACACCAAGGACACCAAGGTCTGACTCCCTTCTGGAAAGCCACGGAGGGACAGGCTCACCTCTTGCCTTTCTCGCCCTCCCCGGCCCGCGCCATCCTCTGTAGGGAAAACGATGGGTCAGAAAATACCTTTGAAGTCCAGCTCATATTTGTGACTTCCAGCCTGAAACTTGAACGTGGCAGTCTGGGCGTCAGAGCCAGGCATGCAGAACTCCTGGTAGGCCTTCTCCAAGTCACTGCTGCTCACAGTGGCCACAGGGTGCTTTGTGCCCTGGAGGGGAGAGCCAGACACCACGTTGGGCCCAGTTTGGGGCTCTTGGGCACACTGCAGGCAAGCAGTAGGGCAGCTGGCAAGGAGAGAGGGCAGGGGCAGGGCAGGAGAGGGGAGGGCGGCACCCAGAGACCCAGTACCTCTCTCTCCCATAAACCAGGCCATAACCAAGGCAACCGGATGTGAGGTGCTCAGAAGGCTCGTGAGCCGACACTGACGTGATCCTCTGCACAGCGGGGCTGGGTGGCCACATGCCTCCCAAGCAGCATTCTCATTCCCATCAGCCCCCCTTCGAAGCGCTCCCCACCCTCCTGCCACTTCATCTGCCTCCTGGATGAACACAGTTGTTTTTCCGATGATTCACTTCCCTCCCTTGGCCTCATTCCAATGACCCACAGAAGGGCCAAGATTTGAGGTGCCACCCAAATCTGACTCCTAAACCGGTCCACAACCCCAGCAAGTTCTCTTAAGTTGGGTGGGATCTAAGCTCAACTCTCCATCAGCACTTAACACAACAAGAATGGTGACAAACGGGGGGCTGGGGATGCAGCTCAGGGCCGTTTGTGCTACACACATGGACAAAGCTCTAAAATGGCACCACCCCATCCTCCAGGGTGGGATGGTTACAGGAAGGCGGGCAGAGCACGGAGCGTGGCCCGAAACAGGGAGCGAAGACACACATGGTCAGAAGCTCAAGAGCTGACCTGCAGCCAGTTACAAGGGTGGGTGAGGTAGTCACTGCTATCAGAAAAGTGTCACCCAGTACACACACGGTGGAAACAAGTGGGATCCCCAACAAACATGAAAGGAGAGTCGAGGAAAGCTTGTGGATTGGCAGAAGGGCCCCAGCATCAGAGCAGGAGGAATGGGTGAACAGCAGGCTGGCAGAGGATGGCAGTGCCCCAGTGTTGGTATCCGAGCTGCTGGAGCTTGCCAATCAAGGCCAAAGGACCATGCCAACAATCAGGGAGGGGAGTGTCCACACAGCCACCACTTACATCCGGTCCGCAGTCAAGAGAGGCGGAGAGGTGGAGCAGCACCCCCGTTTTGAAATGGTCATCTCTTGTAAGAGGGCAGACAAAGGAGGAATAAGAGAGGGGGCAGCTGAGGGACTGGAGTGAGGCCTCCACCAGCCAAGCGGCCCCCAAGGATGCCAGCAACCATCAGAGGCAAGTGAGAAGCAGGACAGCCTCTCCCTGAGGAGGTCCAGGCAACGGGGCACTGCTCATTTCCTGACTTTCCAAACCACCGCTGTTCTCAGCCCTTGAGGGCAGGCACCCTGCTGGAGGAACTGCAGGATATCAAGAAGGTGACTGAGAGAACTTGAAGGGGGACCATCCTGAACTCAGGCAGAAAAGGGTGGAGAAAATGATGCTGAACTGGCAAGTAGCCAACTACCAAGAAGCCCAGATACAGGGGTCTGGCCAGCGAGTGAGACAGGAAAAGCTGGAGGGGACCGCCAACCCAGGAGTCAGCGCATCTGAGAGCACATATGCACACTGGGGAGATCACCAGCACCCACATTCAAAGGTACCCCCCAGAATCACATGTTCTAGAGGAGGTGACACACTGATTCTCCTGGAGTGATGGCCTAGGGACACTGGCCCAGAGAGAACTCAATGGGCTGAGCACATGCTTTGCATGTGGGGAGCCTGGATTCAAACCCTGGTACCGCATGGTCTTCCAGCACAGCCAGGAGTACTCCCATCCATCTCCATGCTACGAGCTGCCCCTGAGAACTCCCAGGTATGCCCCTCAAAAAACAAGGAGGGACCCTAAAAGCAGGTTGTTTGGAGGAAAAAAAGCTCCCAGTCTCAAAGGTGTGAGAAATGAGCAAAGGAAATTTACCATCTTCTGGGCTGCACTCAGAGTCCTGCCTCAGCCCACTTGCTCCCAGTGACCTTGTCACCCTAGAACGGGGCTAATCACCCCCCCCCCCCCCCCCCCGCACAGTGAGGCTCTCAACTACTGAGGGTGCCTCATCTGCCTGTGACTCCATGGTATCACCACGACATGACACCCTCCCTCCCTCTAGGGCTAGAGAACCACCCAGAACAGATCCAATGGGGAGGGCAGAGAAGCCGAATGCCCATGGAGGGCGGACAGGAAGCGTCAGTGGGGGTAAACGAAGAGGCAGGCCAGGGTCAGAGCTCAGCTGGGCAGGCAGCAGTCTCAGTGTGTCCGAGGAGCCAAGAAGGGGATCCCTCGGGGACAGGGGAGACCAAGCTCCCTGCTGGGGGGTGCAGGAGAAGCTGAGCATTGGGCGCCAAAGCTTCAACAGAGCCCCCCAGCCCAGAAGAACCTTTCATTCTGCAAGACTGTCTCCGGAGAGCCCTCCCCTGACAAGTGCCTCCAGGGGCAGTAAGGGACCCCTGTCATCTGACCCATCTGGACAGGAGCAGTGACCCTTAGAGGTCCACTCCCACCCTGGCCAGCTGCTGTGCGCAGAGGAAGCAGGGCGTGCTCTGGAGAGCACTAAGCCTCCCCCTGTGGCAGGCCCATTTCTGAGATGCGGCCCCCGCCCATCCGCAGCACCCCACAGGCTAGCGGGTGAACCCCCACTTACCCGCTTTGGTTAGAGCCGCCCCTGCGACAAGGACCCCATGGTTGACAGACCTGCCGGCAGCAACCCCCCGCGCGGACTCCCACTTACTTGTTTTCCATACTCCTGCCAAGCCCCCAGCTCATCGGTCCAGTACCACACCCACTCGGTGGTGAAGATGAAGTGCGGTGGTCTGGTGGCCGAGGAGACGGTGGAGAGGCGGCGGGCCCGGAAAGAGCCGAACATCATGGTATGAAAGTTCAGAATGTTCAAGGGGAAACTGTTGGCAGATCCCGCACACGTGACCCTGCGCGAGAAAGCATGCACGGCCTAAACCCTCCACGCCCCAGTCCCCATGGCGCAGGTGGGAGGGCGTCTTTATACACGCAAGGTCCCCGCCCGCAGAGGGAGAGCAGGACAGGACAGCTTTAAAACTCACAAAGATCAGGGTAATGGGGCATGCAATATATGACATTCCTCTCACTGGAGAAAATGCTGATAAATTTACTTGGGGTGCTGCAGAGCAGTGCGAAGGGGCCCCAGGACTACTTCCTAGGGATACTAAGCCCCACAGAGCAGGTCCGACAAGTCAGTGTGAGGCCCCAACAACACCAGGAGGCTATGGACAGCAAGGGGATTCTAGCAGCAATGCTCGGAACTAAACTCAGGGCCTAGGTTTTGTGAGACACATACTCCAGTGCCTGACTCCAAGAAAACTATAACTGTAAGGGGCAGCAACGTGGGTCAGTGACAGAACACTCGCCTTGCAGGTGTGAGGCCCCGGGTTCAGTGCCCAGCACCACACAGAGAAACAAGCTTCAGAAGTACATAATGATATTCTCCACCAGAGCAGACGAGGCCCACTGCATTTCAAACAAGAGCAAACTCGGACTCACGAACTGGGTAATGAGGAACAGTCACCCTGAATGACTGCTGCCAGGGACTAAAGGGTTAAATATTAGAGGCTGAGCCGGCCCAGACACAGTGGTCAAGTAACCTGCCCTGCAGGTGGTAAGAGGCAGAGTTTGAAGTCTGGCATCAATCACCTGCTGACTGCCATCCCAGGGTCCCTGGAGCCACAAGGAAGTGTGGCAGCCGGATATGCAATCCCTAGAAAGCACCGCAGCCAGGACTGACTGAGCACTGTGGCCACGTGCGAGCCCCATTCTGCAACACAGGCCGGGGCAGGGAAGAAGCAGAGCAGTAGCTGTAGAGAAACAGCCAGAAGACTCTAACCGCCAATCAGAAGGCTGGGAGGGAGCAGAGCTGACATGTGCTGATTAAACAGAGAGCCCCCGGCCTGGGAAATGGCTGGATCAGATAAAAAATAAATCCAGGAGGGTTGGAAAACAGTATAGACGCTACAGCTAAGGCACTTGCCCTGCATGAGGCACCCCCAGTTCGACCCTTGGCACCGCACGGTCCCCTAAGCACTGCTGGGAGCAACCCCCCAAGCATTTCTGGGCATGACCCAAACCCCTCCCCAAATATAAAAAATAAATAAATAAACCCAGGCATAGATTTTAGTGAAAATGCACAAAATAGGGGCTGAGGAGACAGTGCAACGGGCCAGTGCCCAGGCTTTGCTGTTCTGCACACAGGAGGTCTGCACACACCCCCTCTGCACAGCACCCCTTGCCCCCGCCAAGCACCAAACCCCAAGCAATGGACTCAGAGGAGTCCTGAGTATGGCTGGGTGTGGTCCAAACAAAGAAAAGTGCAACATTCAATAACAAGGCACTAAGAGCAGTTAGAGAGGGAAAATGACCAATGTCCTGGGTGAAACTGGGCACACCTAAGAAGCTGACTTCTAAGGGGGACCTGGGGTGGCCAGCATGACTTTCTGTAGAAAAATGAGCAAGACTAAGTGAGACCTAACCCAAGAAACAGGGAGGAGGACATCGGGAGATAGGCCGAGCACCGTGAAGCAGAGCAGTTAGAAGGAAGGGAGGCAGGCCAGAGTCCACCCACAGGCCGGCCTGGCCCACACACCTTCTCACCCCTACACATGAGATCTAAGAAAACTCAGGTTTTTTCACTCACCAGGTTTGGAGATAACGCCCAGAGAGGTGCCCAGAAGCACAGGTGTCCGGGCTAGGTATGCCATTCCCAGGAAAGACCAATCCACAGGGCACACTCAAAAGTGGGCATGAGGGGAGCATGGGAACCTTCTTTCCTTTCTCTCTCTCTCTTTTTTTTTCGGTTGATCAGCTGCCGTTTATTCCATTCTCCCCACGCGCCTGCCCCAGTCTCTCTGAACCTCCCATTCTAGTCTCACTCTCCCTTCATTCCTGTCTCCTCCTGTCTCTCCCGCTCATCTCGCTGCCCTCCATCTCACAGCCTGAGCTCGCTCTCTCCACATGCCTGCTCCTGTATTCTACATTCTTTTCTCTCTGTCCCCCTTGCTGGTCTCTCCACACTCTATCTTGCTGCCCTGCTCTCTCTCCTCTCTCCAACTCTCAGATCTCTCTGTCTCTCTCTCTTCCACTCCAGCACTCTGGGCCCCAATGTCACACCCGGTCTGGTAACAAAATCAACAGAAGAAAGCCCTTCTGGGCTGGAGCGGTAGCACAGAGGGTGGGGCGTTTGCCTTGCCTGAGGCCAACCCAGGTTCGATTCCCAGCATCCCATATGGTCCCCTGAGCACCGCCATGAGTAATACCTGAGTGCATGAACCAGGAGTAACCCCTGTGCACTGCCGATGTAACCCAAAAAGCCAAAAAAAAAAAAAAAAGCCCTTCCTGACTCCTTCCTGACTGCCCATCAGGGTCAATGGTGGAAATGCCACCTAGGAGTATTCCAAAGCCCTTCCTGACTGCCCACGGGCAAAATACCTCTTAAGGTGTTTTTCTCCTTTACTCAGTCCAGTAACCCAATCAACATCTTAATACTAGTTATTTTTGTATGGACACAGTAAGAGATACATTAAGGCTTATAAGGCAGCTCTCTTAGGAACATCTTGCAACAGACTCTGACTACAGTGCTCGGGCCAGATTAAGCATTCCTAACCCTAGCAGGGTCCAAACCTAGTTATTACTTTTTGGATTATGACAGCATTTGTCCATGACCAAGCTCTTAACTTATAGTTAAGCATTAGGCACTTTGGCCAGGCCTATCTCGATGCCAGGGTAGCACATAGCTCATTGCTTGCTCAGGATCCATCCCGTCCCTTGTCGGGACCCTGCCTTTGGGGGTGCATTCTTGGGGTGACAAATGAGCTCTACCTGGATGCGCTGACTACACAAGTGTAATGCGCACCCACCAACTTGAGGTGCGCCCTTTTCTGCACTTTACTGTGTGTAAAAACATCCTGCCTCAGAGGAAGTGCGGCAGGGGAGGGCAGGAGACAGCTGCGGGTCTCTTTTCATCTCCCAAGGGGAACCCTTTACCCACTAGCACACACTTGAACTCAAGGCACAAACTCATTTCAGCCACATGGGATGGAGGCGCAAACTGTCTTCAATATCTTTCAGCAAATTCATAGGAGAAAATACTTGAAAATGAGGCTTCCTAAGCCTCTTCCACTCATCCAGAAGTACCTTCAAGAAAAATCCTGGGACAAACCAAGAGTTTAAAAAGTGAACGGGTAAACACTAGAACAGCTGTTCCATTGACTTTCTGGGTCAAAGGTCTAGACTGCCACTTCTGCCCTCAGGCCCAGGCACTCGGGTGTAATAGTCATCTGGAACTTGGAACTGAAACTCCTCTCTGAACAGACAGTAACACCCTCCACCTGCTCCCCCTCCCCCGCCTTGCCTCCACGTGGCTCCCCTCCCCGCGTCCTGACCGGGAACTTTAACTTCCAGTTCTGATTCCCCCTGTGGGTAAGTGTGCAGGAATGCATGCGGCGCTGATATGTGTATATGTATGTATATGTGTGTATATGTGTCCCATCCCACACACCTCAGTCACGGGGCACCGACTCCATACCTGTCTTTTTGAGGGTGGCTATAGGCCTCTTCAATAAGCTCCATCTTGTCCAGATCCTTCCAAGTGCTGCCATCCAGGAACTGCCATCGGTACGGCAGGTGGAAATGAACTTTATTGCACTTATCTAAAAGAAGAAGGTAAACAAGTGAGACCCGGGTGCTGGTAGGTTCTGGAAATCTGCAGGCTCAGCGACAGCACAGCGCCAGACCTGAACACTGACCCACCCGGCCTTCATCATCAGGCTGAATAGTGTGGAGAGTCCGGGACCGTGAGCATCACTGCAGAGGGTTGAGAAAACCAAATAACACCAAATTTTATTCTTCACGATGTGCCACAAGAAGAGGTCTGGGGAGACAGGGCAAAGGGGTGAGTGCGTATTCTGAAGCAGGAAGTCCCAATTCAATTTCCAGCACTGCAGGGTTCCCTGAGCACCCACAGGAGTAGCCCCAAAACCAAAAGGAAAAGAAACCAGGAAAACCCCTGACTTGAAAGAATTCCATACCCGTTTCCAGGAAAGATATACAATGGATACTCAAATTCGCAGACTTTGAGCAACTCAAATAAGAAGCGGTTTAAGTGTCATAAAGATTATGAAGACTTGAGAAAAAAGTCTCCAGGCAATGCGGTAGGGGTGTGGGAGGGACCATCTATAATTATGGGGAGACTGGACAGGGACTGCTAATGGTGATGGGGCTTCTTCAGGGGATATAAATGTTCTGATTACTAACGATTGCAAAATTCTGTGACTACTCAATAGCATGAAGTGAATAGCAAGTTTTGTGATGAGATACAGCATCTCAATAATGGCATTAAATTAAAAAAGAGACAAAAGCTAGAGTGATAGCACAGCAGGTAGGGTGTTTGCCTTGCATGCGGCCAACCCGGGTTCGATTCCCAGCATCCCATATGGTCCCATGAGCACCGCTAGGAGTAACCTGTTGCATTTCCGGGTATGACCCAAAAAGCCAAAAAAAAAAAAAAACAACTTAAAAAGAAACAAGAATTTATACAAGAATTTCAACAGAGAGACAAATAAGCAAATAAGCATGTCAAAGTAAACGTCGAATATCATGACTCATCAGGGCGATGCAAACAAGGCTGCCACCCTCATCACTAGTAGAATAGCTCATTTCAAAGAGGGACAATTCCAAGTGTCTGCAAAGATGCAGGGCAGCCAAAAGCCTCACGCAAGACTGGTGGGGAGGTAAACTATCAGAGTCCATTTGGGAGCGAGACTGGAAGCTTCCTATAATGATAAGCACACATCTATCCATGAGCGAGTCATTCTACTTCTAAGTAAGTCATTCTACTTCTACTTCCTTTACTCCTAAGGAAAAAGGAAACATCCACATGAACACACATATACACAGCTATTTAGAGAAGTTTCTTACATGAAAAAGTCCCACACTCAGCCAATCAAAGCTGTCACATATAAACGGTTAAACAAAGAGGAACAAATCCACACACAGTCTGTTCTCTCCACACGGGAAAGGAATGGACTGACATGCCAGCAGGATCAGCCGCTGTTGGATAACATTGGTTTGTCCTTACTCCTCCCACAGGGAGCTAAGACTTGTTGAGTTACTCCCATAACAGTGCCCCTGAGGCACACCCAATTTCATCAGGCACTAATAATCCTATATTGCTTTTCCCTTTCTTTTTTGTATAAACACAGGAAGACAGTTGATGCTATGCTTCTGTAACCTGGGAATTAACTGACTCCAAATAATGTTTATTCCTGGGCACCCACCACATTTACTTAAGCCTCAGTTGCCCTTACTTCCTAACACCCCTAAAAGGAGGATCCCCGACGAAGGGATGAGATGGACCCAGGGCAAGCTGTAAGTCATCCTGGCATTGGAAAGGGACAAGCTAAGTTCCACAAGAAGTCTAAATTAACAGCATGATAATGCAACAAACTCTATGATGACCCAAAAAGTAATTGAATAAGGACCCTACTGGGGTTAGGAAAGAGTAACCTGGTCTGAGTACTGTAGTGTGGGATATACAGCGAGATGTCCCCCGGAAGAGCCAACCTTTAAGCTTAATATATCTCTTACTGTTTCATACAAAATGACTAGATATATTATAAGTAAATTTACCATGATTGTTTAAATGGATTACTAGCTGAGGAAAGGAGAAAGCAATACACCCTAGATGGAATCCCACCCATGAGTGGATCTCCTAGTAATCTAGAGTGCTGCTGAACTCTTAGATGAGATTTTGTCCTTGAGTTAATCTCCTAGAACTTCCCCTGAAGAAGTGGCTTTACATCTGTGTTGTTATGACAATGTTCAACCCCACCTATGTGTACCCCCACCCTTCATGACTTCTATATAAGTATACTGTAAGGGGAAAGGAGACTAGAAAGATAAGGACTAGGATGATAACCAGGAAGAAGTCGAGGACTATGACGAGGATTAGGATGATGTAACTATGAGGACTCAGACTACAACCAAAACTATGACTACGACTGTGCTGTAAGGGAGTGATCGGACTACATTGGGGAAGAGAAAGAAATAAACTACCAAACAGCCTGGGACCCCATTTCTGTTCCCCGGTCCTTCATCCATCCATCGCCATTGACCATCCAGGGAAATAGTTTTGGCTACCAAATGTTCGAGTCCCATATACACCCATGCTCTTCTTTTGGAAACTCATGGCTGTTTGAGACCAAGTCAAGAGGAGCACATGTTGGAGGTTCCTAAACACCAGGAGTGACACCCCAAAGGCACCATGCCAGCAGTATCCCCTGAGCACTGCAACTCAAAAATCAAAAACTAAAATAAATTTAAATAATGTTTAAAATACAGTGTGAAAGTAAAACCAAGGTAGAAAAAGCCAACTACAGATAATTTCTCCTGTGATCACAGAGATTCTTGGATTACTCTACTCAGAAAATGACCTAAAACCTGGATGAAACATAGCTTTGGCTATACAGAACAGAGCACCAGACAGATTGCAGACCCCAACAGAAGACAGCACGCCAAGATACCCCACCGGGGCCAGCAAGATGCAACTGGGAAGAGATATTCCCAGGAGCACTTTCCCATGAAGGGTGTATGGGAGGCTTTTCAGAGCATGGCCAGTGCCTCTAGGTCTGGGCCAGGATGGAGGACCCGCCTTATTAAGGTGGGGCCCCAACCTCCCTCCCTGGGACTGCCCCAAACCACATTATAGGGAGGGGAGATAGCTGACAAACTAAGAGCATACTTTGCATGTAGGAGGAGCAGATTTGATCCCCAACACTGCTGTAGCAAGAGTAGTCCCTGAGCACTGCCCAGTGTGGCTCAGAAATGAGGAGTTGAGGAGAGAGTTCCAAGGGCATGAGCATGTGCTTTTCCTGCAGGAAGCCCAGGACACACAATCCCTTCAGCCCTGCCAAGAGCAACCCCTGAACACTACTAATGGCTGGATGTGAGCCTGCACCTCAAAAAAGAAGACTGGGAGACAAGAAAGGGCACAAATGAGGGAGTCCCACCCTGGCACCTCAGCCTGGTGGTTACTGGAGAGTCTCAGCCACAGACCTGGGGTACACCCTGAGAAGAGCACCCTTAGCAGAGAGCTGAAACAGTGATCAAGTGGCCTTTTCCGGCCTGCAACAATCCCACCCCTGGCAGCCCACATCAGACGCCAGCAAGCCACCCTCTACAGACAGCGGCCTCTTTGTGGCGTTATTAAGATGTGATAAACCATTCTCAAAACTTACTATTCACTTCATGCTTTTGAGTAGTCAAAGAATTTTGTAACTGTCAGTAATCACTATTATAGCATTTATACCCATACAGATCGGGCGCGTTCAGGGTGGTATGGTCGGGCTGGAGCGATAGCACAGTGGGTAGGGCGTTCGCCTTACATGCGGCCAACATGGCCGACCCGAGTTCGATTCCTCCGCCCCTCTCGGAGAGCCCGGCAAGCTACCGGGAGTATTCGATATGCCAGACACAGTAACAACAAAGTCTCCAATGGAGACGTTACTGGGCCCGCTCGAGCAAATCGACGATCAACGGGAGGGTCTTTACCTTTACCTTACCTTTACCCATACAGAAGCCCTATCACTTGTAAGTAGTGAGACAGACAGACAGACAGACAGACAGACACACACACACACACACACACATACACACACACACCAAAAAACCATGTAATTTTGGAAGAGTAATAATAAGAACTCTTTGCTGATTTTTCCCTTGTCTCCATTTTATTTACATAAAGTTTCATTTATTTTTTAGTTCTAAGATGTATTATTTCATCCTAAGTTTATCTCATTTCCCTATAAGTACAACCACAAAATAAAAAATAAAAGCAAGGCAGATTTATATGTACTAACATGAGAAAACCACTGAAACACAACATTAATTTAATTCATGGATTACACGTTCCTATCTGTGTAGAAAAACGCCAAATACCATGAGCATACAGCATGAGCATACGCGCAGCTGACCTGGTCGGCCCAGGTTCGATTCCTCCGCCCCTCTTGGGGAGCCTAGCAAGCTACTGAGAGCATCTCACCCACATGGCAAAGCCTGGCAAGCTACCCGTGGCGTATTTGATATGCCAAACACAGTAACAAGTCTCACAATGGAGACGTTATTGGGTCCACTTGAGCAAATCGATGAACAACGGGAGAACAGTGCAGTTCTACAGCATGTTAACTTTTGGGAACGAGTGAAGGAGAACCCCACACTTCCATCTGTAGGAAGGGACTCTGACAAACTGGAAGTATTACTAAATTGCTTGGAAAATTTTGAAAGACTGAAACTGGAACAAGAAGTATTGGAGGTGTCTGTGAAGAGTCACCAAATGCGAGGAGGAGGCCTTCTTCAGTCAAGGCTCAGAACAGCAAGTGAAGGCAAGCAAAGGCCGAGTGAAAACACAAACACAGAACTGCTAACTTGACCCCTGGGACAGTGCTCCTCTGCCGGAGGGCTTTCCCTGTTCTCTAGCTTTGCTTGGCTGACGGTGATCACATCAATCTTGGTTCTCACATCAGGCACAAGTGTGTGCAGGGCCCTGGCCTCAAGCTAGGCTGACACATAGTCAACACTTGACACTCTCGCTAACCTGCACCGTCCCCAGCACTGTGGCTTCTAGAACTACAGAATCGAGTCATGCTTCCCAGTCCCAACACCTCGCCAGATCTATTTCGAACTGCTTCAGCTGAAATGCTGGGAAAAGGGGACCTGGGGGGGGGGCTGGAGGAGAGCCCCAGGCCCAAGAGCAGTCACGTGTGCACCCCCGCCCCTAGGAGAGAGGCAGAGGACCCCCGGTCTTACCTTGGAAGCTACAGCTCTTCCGGATGTGGAACAAGCAGATCTGATCGCTGTCCCCCTGGCTGGAAACGCTCGAGGATGCAGAGGTTGCGCTGGAGGATGCAGAGGCTGTGCGGTCTCGTTTCTCTACAAAGACACAGCACAAAGGAGCACAGCTTCCATCAAAGCTCCGAGTGGCTCAAAATACAAAGAAGCAGGGGTCCAAGCAACAACACACTGGGAGGGCATTTGCCTTGCACACTGCTGACCAGGGTTCAACCGCTGGCACCCTATGTGGTCCCTTGACTCCCACCCCCACCCCCACCCCCAAGGGGTGATCCCTGAGCACAGAGCCAGGAGAGAAAGCCCTGAGTACTGCCAGATGTGACCCAACAAAAAATATACAATTTAAAAAAGAGAGAGAGAGGACTCCTCTATCTCCCCGCAAGAAAAAAGTGGGCAAAATCTCACAAACCCTGCAGAGCACGAGACACCCCAAGGGTCCCTCTGAGAGAACCCAAAGACATCCCGCTGGTTGCCAGAATCAGACAGTGTGCATGTGGGGGTGGCAGGGAGCCTCTTTCCCCAGGGCGACACATGCCACCTCCGAGGAGACCTACCCAAGACCTGGAGTGCCCTCCAACCTGCTTCCACCTCATCACCCCAGGAGTGAGGCTGGTGCTCCCCAGGGGATAGCATCCTCCACACCATAATAGGCAAGTGTTCCTTTTAAGGACCCCCCACCTGAAAATCTGGAAAGTTCTTTTGGGAGTCTGGGAACACAATTACCTTTAAATTGTATGGAAAAACTGAGTACTCCCATGCCACCCCCATAATAACTTCCAAATCCTATCAACCAGGAGCCTTCTGCTTTCAGACACAGTTTTCACATGAGGCAGGAAGGACTCCAGGGGGACAACTGAATGGCTGTGCTTTAATTTGGAGGGCTGAGGCCACACCCAGCAGTGCTTGGGGGGGGGGGGGGGCGACTTTCAGTTTTGTGCCAAGAGGCCACTCACGATAGTGTTTGGGGGACCGTGTGGTGCCAGGATCGAACTAAGATGGGTTGTGTGCAGGGTAAGTGCCTTTATCCCCTACACCATCTCTTTGCCCAAGGGCTGTTATTATCCACTTGATTGAATATCAGCGAATACTCCTGTTAATGAACCACCAGAAATGAGTACTATTATCACTTTTAGGTTAAGAAAAAACTCAGGATAGGGTCCAGGGAGGTGACTCAAAGGGCTGGAGTCTATGCTTTGAATGGAAGAACCCCAGTTTCACTCCCTGGCACCACACAGCCCCAACACAGCCAGGGACCCCCAAGCACAGAGCCAGAAACAGCCAAAGAACACTGCCAGGTGTGGCTCCCGAGCCAAAGAAATGGATTTCAGTATAAAAGGCACAAGTAAGCACTCGCAAGGTGACTGTTACCAAAGCAAGAGCCCCAATGCACCCCGGCCTAATGCTCCATTTGTCACCCACACCTATAGCAATGGCAACATGTGGATGTCGTTATAAGCCTTCAGTCTTCACAAAAACTCTGTAACCCATCTTCCCACTCTTTCAACACACCAGACCCCTCTGTCTCGACATCCCCACCTTTGCAACCCCTCAAGCCCCCTTTCCCAGGCTCCCCAAGGGCACACCTGGCCTCAGCTTTTAACACTCAGGTCATCCCATCTCTTCCTAAGACCACAACCCACTGGGCATGCTGGAAAGATTTTTCTAGAAAACCTGCCTACTTCCAAGTTCCTGCCACTGAAGGCAAAGAGCAAAAACTAACAGGAGACTTTGGCTCAGTGGGTGAGCATACATGTGAAGCCCTGGGTTCTAGCCCAAAGCTCCACCCCCCCAACACACACAGTAAATAATCAAAGCTGTCCCCCAAATTCCCCACAGATGGCAAGATCTTCTAATGCGAAATCAGTATCCAAGTGCTCTATAGACTGTGCTGCGCCCAGCATGGCCTGGTATTTCGGAAGGAGAAGCCCTAAGGCCCAGGTTCTAGGGTCTTGAGAGCTAGTTGAGGGGAAACAGGTCTCATATTCCACATGGTATATGAGGGCAGGGGCTATTGTGGGGTGCCTGGCAGGAGCTCAGACTGGTTAAATAAAGCCTGGGTGGCCAGCACAGGCAGCCCAGACAATACTGTGAAACTCTGAGCTGCCCAACAGGCCCCTTACCCAGTTCCCTCACTGCAGGGATCTAGAAATGCCCATTACATAAACCAAGCCTCAAATGCTCCCATTTGCTTGCAAATGTCTTGGGTTCCTACTGTTGAACAGGCACTGCAAAGGTGCAGGACATGAGTGAAGTAAATTCACAAAGACTGAAAACTGTTTCACACAAAGAGGAAACGGAAATCAAAGTGGAAAGTAGCATCATCTGCTCCTTTAAAAAAAATCCAGAGATTAGGGAAGAGAGCTCAAAGGGTGGGAACATGTGGTTTGCATTTGTGGTTGGAACCTCAGGTTCCATCCCCAGAACCCCATGGTCCCCTGAGAACCCACCACTATGAGTGATGCCCCAAACATGCCAAATGTGGACCCTCAAAGAAACCAAGTAGGGACGTGGAGAGCGCACAAAGGCCAGCCCTAACCACAGGGTCAAGACCCAGCCCTAACCACAGGGTTCCCCAGTACTGCCAGGGGCAGACCTGGCGGTCCTCCAGCACTGCTGGTATCGCCCAGGTTAGCTACCCTCAGCACATCACCAGGACCTAGCGCTGAACCTACAGACCTACACAGCTGGGCCCCGAGGGCTGCCAGAGAGGGCCCCCAATTTTTTAAAATCAGCAACAAATAGAATGCAACATCTTGAATACCTCTAGGGTTATGTGCATGCCATTTCATTTTAGGGTCTCTCCTTGGTCTCCAAGGTTTTGGGGCAGGGGGCAGTTTCTCATCTCAGTGGATAAGAGGCCGTGGGGGAGGGGGGGAAGGGGAGGGTTCACACACAAGACTCAAAGTCAAGACCAACTCGGGCCTGTCACCTCCTCCTGTATGACTCATCTATCTAGTCATCTCCCCAGCAGCACAGCTGGGAATGGGCCCAGCTGAATTTGACTGTGAAAAGCTCCAAAGTGCCCAAGTCCCATTCCACAGTAGGGCCAGGGGGAAAAATGGGAGTCCCTGCCCTGGGATTTACCTGAGGTCCCCTGGGCGGGCAGCACTAGGCTTTTGCTGAGGCTCGAAGAGTTCTTATTCTTGATGTCATAAGCGTTCCGGTAAATGTCAGGCAGCTTGCTCACCAGGTCTGAGCTCAGGCCCATCTTCAGCAGTTTTTCCAGGTTCTCGGGAGATGAGAAATCGTGAGATCGCTTGCAGCTGCTGCCAAACTTGCACTGGCCCCGCAGGAAGTACTGGCACATGTGCAGCTTGATGCAGTGCGTCTGGAAGGTGCAGGAGCCGTAGGGCCCATCTCCTTTGTTGTAGTGGAGACAGATCTGCGGACACAGAAGCACACAGGCCGGAGCTGAGCACGGCTTCCTGGGCCTCAGCTCCTGCCATGTGTCTGCTACCTAGAAGGGGTGCTCTCAGGAACTGGCCAAAACCTGTGACCCTATCACCCACACGGCCATGCTGTTAGAATGCTCTCCATGGGGCCGGAGCAATAATACAAGTGGGTGCAGGAAAGGCATTTGCCTTTTGATTCCCCAGTACCCCATTCAGTCCCCTGAGCACCCCCCACAAGAATGATCCCTGAGTACAGAGCCAGGAGTAAGCCCTGAGCACCACTAAGTGTGGTCCAAAGAAAATGTTCATCTCTAGACTGTGAGCTGCTATGACATGTCTGTGCCCATGACAGAAAGTGGCGCTTCCCAGGTTGCTCCTAACAGACCCCCTGAGTGGAAACTCCCAGAGTCTCAAACTCACCAAAGCTGCTTTCATCCCATGGGATGACTGAATTCACCCAGCACCCCTCCACCTTCCTCCCATCCATCCTCCAAGCCCCCCACACACTCAGGTCTCAATGTCCTTCAACACTCTCCTACAATTCAGTGTCACTGAGGCTCCCAGGGGGTAAAGCAGCCCAGAGGCAGTGCTGTGCAATGCTTTCGGTTTGGAAGAGCAAATCATGTCTCAGCCCTGCCACCCTGCCCCAGACACACAGCCCCTGACGCCTAATAGGCTGGACCCATGCTGACCAAGCAGGGACCTGAATACGCAGAAAATCATGCACACGACTTCCTCTTCCTTCCACATGGCAAGTTACTGGATCTCGGAATCAAGTCAGAGAAGACTCCCCCACCCAAAGGACCCCGATCTGAGCGGGAAGCCCTTGGGGGAAAGGATGGCAGGACCAGCCACAACCTTCACTGCCATTTCCCAGGGGCCTGCTTCAGCAGCCCTCTCAGCATCTTGGACTTAGAGTTTTCTTTCATTGGGTGCTCAGTCCATGGTGCTGGGAATTGGAACCACATGCCAGGCAAGAAGTGCCTGCCCTCCACTGCTCTTGCTCCAGCCGCAGGCTCAGTTCTCAAGCCCTCAGTGGAAGCTCCTCCTTCCTCACGATGCCCACCACAGCCGGGGGCTGGAGGCCTGAACTGGAATCTACTGGTGTTACGGCACCATAAGAGGAATCAACTGGCCAAACTCTGGCCTGGACTGACCCGTGGGCGCTGACTGAAGGCCCAGAGGGGGATTCGTCAGAGCAGAAAATCATGCCAGTCTGCATTCTGCAGGCCAGGCTCCCCCTGGGGCTCTGCAGTGGGCACATGGACACATGCCCCTTCCCAATTTCCCTCCGTTCCCACCAACTGCACCCACCTCGGGCAGCAGCCAGGGGTCATTCTGGTACAGCAGCTGGCAGAGTTCTGTGAAGTTGAGGTGATCCACTCCATGGGTCTGCAGCACGCCCACATTGTGGGGGGTGGTCAGGCTGTGGCTATTTCTGCAGGGCTTCCTGTGAAGAGGCGGAGCCATTGGGAAAGCTTTCACCCCAGCGCCCCCCCAGGTATATCTGGAGACAAAGAGCCGTTGAAGATATCATTTTTGTTTTGTAGGCGCACCAGCTGTGCTCAGGGTTTACTCCTGGCTCTGCACTCAGGAATCGCTCCTGGCAGGCACAGGGGACCGTAGGGGAGCCGGGGATCAAACCCAGGTTGGGATATGCAAGGCAAGTGCGATCTCTCTGGCACCTAAAGAGACCACTGTCACAATGACTAGATTTTATAAAGGGAGGGAGGGAGCACTCACGCAATCCAATGGGAGTCCTTCAAAGAGGGGACCAGAACAGAGGGACGATAGGGACAGCCACCGCCCAGCCCAGCAGAGACATAGGAAGAAACCAACCCTGCAGATTCCACCGCCTTGGCCTTTTAGTTTCCAGCCACATGAGAAAATAAGAATCTGCCACTTAAGGACCCAGTCAGGTCAGCCACGCTAACTGAGCTAGAGAGCCCCTCTTTCAAAGTAATGGTTGAGGTTTTAGGTTCAGGGAGTGACCATCTGGAGAAAAGCCAGCACGGAGACATAAGTACAGACTGCTGCTTTTTCACAAAGAAGAGATGGCACCTGGCAAGCCTAGGGCAGAAGGGCAGAGCCAGGAGTCAAAGGAGAGCAGAAGCGCCTCCTGGGGGCACGAGGCAGAGCGTTCCACAGACAACAGGTGAGAGTTGAACGTGCACACCCACACCTCCACCTGTGCTCGGAGATCCAGCCCTTTCTCCCACTCCCTTCCTCCATCCTTTCCTCCACCAAGCCCCTGGCTCCAAGTCAGCACTGACTGGCACCATCCCGAATGATCCAGATAAGCTTCAAGTGATCCCCTGGGCCACCAGGACCCAGAAGAGTCAAGAAAACTGCATTTGCTTAATTCAGACACAGTTCCCCGTGCCAGAGGATCATAAATATCTCAAAGAAAACCCCAAGCCCCGAGCCTGTCTCTCCCAGACCTTCACCTCCCACCTCAGTAGAAACAATTTCACTGCTCAGGCCAAAACGGGAGACACGCTGCTGTTTGGAGCTGGAAGTACCCAGTCCTCACTTGCCCCCATGAATCCCGGGGCCCGCAAACCTCCAGAACCCAATGGTAAAACCCAGTTTGCGGGACCAGTGACTGCAAACTTCAGGCCTCAAGGGATCGGGACAGGCTGCTCCTTCCCATCTCCCTGCCCCTACGGAGTCCTGGCTGTCGCACCCATGAACTGCCTCGGGTGCCATTTAAGCACATTAACAGCCATGATCCAGAGACTCACAGAATTATCTTGGAACCGAGGGGCTCACTGCAGAGATTTCTCAGGACTCCATTTGAAATTTTAGAATTCCAGCAGTGTGCGGCCGTGCAACATCTCATGCTATTCATAACAAGCAATAAAAAATAAGTTATCTAGCATCTGCCTGTGGGGCAGGCTTGAGAGGTGGTGGGAAAATTCGAAATAATGGTGGTGGGAAGGTGTAGGTAGGATTGGAGTTGAAATATTGAATGTAATCAATTATTATGGACAAATTTATGAAAATAAAACTTATAATAAAAAAAGTACATGGTTATCTGTGCTTGGTACACAGGCAGATTGCAAAATACCCAGGCACAGCAGGATCTGAGCCAGAAAGGGGGGAAGAATATTCGGCAAAGAGGCTAACAACAGAGCCACCAGGCCCAATATATCTACTAATTAAGCTCATGCGGTGATGGCGCAGACGAGGCTGACCGTTTACTGGGAACAGAGGTCATCTCAGTGCCTTACTAGTTCATCCCTGCAGTCCTCAACCAGCCTCTGGGTGGGTGATCACCTGCTCTGCAGATTATGGAAGTGAGGCTTGGGAATGATGGAAGAAACTGATATCACCCCGCAGCAAGGAGCAGTCAGACCTGAGACCTTTCCCAGCTGTCCCCAATGAGCAGCGGTGGCCCTGAAACAGCCGCCCAGAGAGCCCAGGAAGGGAGAAAGAGGTGCAGACCACCCTCACTCTCCCGTAGACCCCCAGGGAGGGCAGGCTCGCTTCCCCACACTGCCCTGAGCACCTCCAGGGAGCAATCCTTGAGCACAGAGACAGGAGCAGCTCCCTACACCGCGGGGCGTGACCCCGAAACAACAATAACGAGGAACACCTGTGTTTCAGCAAGGAAAGGTGGAGAACGTAGCAGACTCACAACTAGCTGGGTCAGTTAATACCAACCAGGTCAGGGGCCGTCAGCCCCTCAAAATCCAGGTCTAAGGACAGGCTGCCACTGGATGGCTGCACCCCCTCACCAGCTAAGGGACCCCCTGGGCTTCTCTCTCCCGGGAGTCCCCCACATTGCCAGATCTAATGTGCACTACTTAGGATAATAAAGATTCAGGGTGCTCCTGGGAACCTCCTCGTCCATTAGACCCCAAAGGGCTCATTTCCCCTTTCCATGCTCAGACTCTGGGGTGGACCCCATTCCTGCCCTGCAGGCAGGTAGGAGCTGCCGACACATCACAAACCAGCACCCCGAGGCCGTGGTCACTGGGCCACATTTCAGAGGGTGTGTGTGTGGGGGGGGGGGGGGGATTGTCACTGCCCCAGGACACACTCCAAACCAGCCAACACTGCAGAGAAAACCGCTCCCCACGTCGCGTCTCCCCACCTTTCTTCCGGTCCTGACAAACGGCTCCAGAATGCTCCCTGGGCAAATGCCACCACTCTAGAATATTCCAGCAAACACTTCTAGAATGTTCCCTGGTAGCTGCTTCCCAGGAACCTCCTCCTCCATGCCCTTTTTCCACCCCTGCCCAGTGCGGGGGGTGATCCTGCCTTGGCATCAGGCAGCTGGAGTAGTAGGCAGGTGCAGACAGCACCCCCAAGCCCGCTACCTTCCCCACCCTCCAACCGCGGAGGGCATCGTCAACCTGGAGGGGGGGGGGGGGGCGACCCCATGGTCGAGGCGGCCAGACCCCGGGGGCGCAGTGGACGTGGCGGGGAGGCGGCTCGGGGGCCGAAGGGCGGCCGGCCAGACCCCGGCAAGCCCGTCCCCACCGGGCTAGGCCCCCCCCAGTCTCCCCGGCGCCCCCCACCCCCGCGCTGCTGAGCTCGCAAGGTGGGAGGGGAAAGGCGCCGTCGGGTGGGTCCGCCCGTGCAATCTCCCCCCTCCCGGAAGCCCGACACTGAGAAGGCGACGCCCCCTCCCCAACCGAGAGCCGCATCCGGGACCCCTGTCCCCTCCCGTCGTCAGCCCGGGAGGCCGTCGGAACGCCCCCTTCCTCCTCCCCGCCAAGGGAGACGCCCGTCCAGGGGCCGCATCCCGTCCCCTCCCCTCAGCTGACCGGGGCGCTTTGGGCGGGGGGAGCGGGGAGGGGGTCTTACCCGGCCTTGAGGAACTTGCAGGCGCCGTAGACCATGAACTTGCAGAGGTGCAGCTGCGAGCAGAAGCCCTGGCAGCCCACCTTGGCGCCCGGCGGGGGCGCGCGGCACAGGCGCAGCTCCGAGGCCGCCAGCACCACCACCCGCTCGGCGGCGGCGGCGGCGCCCGCACCCGCGCCCGCGCCCGCGCCCTCGCGCCGGGCCACCACCAGGCGGGCGCCGTCGCGCAGCAGCCGCTCGAGGGGCTCCGCGCCCACCGTGCCCGCCAGGCGGCCGCGCAGCTCGTCCAGCTCCAGGGCGCCGCCGGCCGCGCACAGCAGCCGGGTGGCCTCGCGGAGGGCGGCGGCCGGGCTCATGGTGGCGGTGGCGGCGGCGGTGATGGTGGCGGTGGCGGCGGCGGCGGGGGCGCGCGGCCCGCAGCCCGCGTTCCAGCCGGGAGCGCTGGGCGGCACCGGGAAACGAAAGCGAAAGGCGCCGAGCGCCGAGCCCCAGGGAAAGTCGAAGGGCCACGCCACGCCCCCGGCGCGCAGCTGCCCGGCCGCGGGCGACGCCGACGCCGCCGCCGCCGTCGGGCCCGGGGCTACTCGCAGGGCGCTCAGCGGGGCTCGTGCCGGCGGCGGCGGAGGCGGCGGAGGCGGCGGCGGCGGCCCCACGACGGGGCCCCCGCAGGCCCCGGGGAGCGCGGGGAGCGCCGGGAGCGCCGGGAACGCGGGGAACGCGGGGAGCGCGGGGAGCGCGGCGCTCGGCCACGCCGCCGCCGCCGCCGCCGTCGCCACCGCCGGGCCGCGGCCGCCCGCGCCCCCGGGGCCGTCGGGGCCGAACGCTCGGCGCATGGTGCCGGCCGGCCGGGCCCGCGGCGAGGCCGACTCCCGGGAGGCGGCGGGACGCGCGCGCCTCGACGGCGGGCGCGAGCCGTCGGCGGGGGCCGCTGGCGGGGCTGCCGTCGGGCCGCCGGGATCCGCGGGGCTCTCGGCGCTCGACGGGCGACAGCGGCGCTTCCCCAGCCCGCGGCCGCGGCGAGCGGCGCGGTCCGGCGACTTCTCCACGTTCGGCGTCTTGGCGTCCGGCGTCTTGGCGTCTGGCGTCTGCCTCCCGGCGCGTCCCACCACGACGACGACGACGACGACGACGATGCGTGCGGGTTTTTCTCCTCCCGGGAATGTTCTAGAACTGTTTCGAAGGAGACCTCCGAGTCAACGTGACTTGCCGGGGCAGGGCCCGGGATCCCGCGCGGGTTGGAGCCGCCGACCCCCACGAGACCCGCGAGCACTGCCTGTGTCTGGCGCGGGTCGCTAACCTCGCGAGATCCGGGCGCGCGCGTGCGCACGCGCCGCGGGCTACAAGGCGTTTGAGGAACGTGCGCGCGCGCACGCGGGGCTTCTTGGTCTCGCAGTTTCGCAGAGCCAACGGTTCGCCCGCTTCTGGCTGCGTCGCCGACCCTGGCTCTGCGGTCGCTCCCCCTCAGGACGATGGGGGCGTGCGGTGTAGCCGTGTCCGAACGTTGGCCGAGGGAAGATCCTGTCCGTGGGGGGGGGGGGTTTGGGGGGGTCTTGGATGAGGCTGGGGGGAAGCGGGGCTGGGTGCACGTGAACCCCGAGGTGGGCGCTGAGGGGTGAAAAAAGGGGGCGACGGGCGTGAAGGGACAGGACTCAGGAGGCACCGAAAAGTCGATGTCTGTCTACAACTGTACCTGATTGTGTTTCACTAATGAAATTTTTTTTAAAAAAAGAAAAAATAAATGCATCCCAAGAGTGAAGTGAAAATTTTTAAAAAAAAAAAAGAAAGAAAAGTCGTTGTCTACGCCCCCACACCTAAACCGCAAGAGTCGTGAGTCAGCGGATGAGTCGTCGAAGGAGTGTGGACAAGCGAACAACAGGGACCCCTGAAAGGTTGTCCCGTGGCGACCGTTTTCGCCCAGGAGATTTTGTACAGCATCCTGAGTAGATAGGGATTCACAAAATAAATATACAGGAATAATAAAGAATAATAAATTCACTGGTAATAAATCAGGCATTTATTTTTAAATAACTCTGGGGGGGTTCTGTTTTTTTTTTTTTAATTTTTTATTTTTTGGTGGTGGTGGTCTGTTTTGGTTTTGAGTTTTTGTTTGTTTGCTTTTTGGGTCACACTGGCAGTGCTCAGGGCATCCTGTCTCTGCACTCAGGAATTACTCCTGGCGGTGCTCAGGGGGCTGTGCTGGATGGATGCTGGGGATCAAACTGGATGGGCTGTGTGCAAGGCAAACGCCCTACCCGCTGTACAATTAATTGCTCTGGGCCTGGAAAGTTTGTTTAAGCAGCCCTTGCGATAGTACAATGGGCATGTGCCTACCTTCCACCCAGCACCCCATAGAGTTCCCCCAGCACCACCAGGAGTGATCCCAGAGGGCAGAGCAGGGGAGTAAACCCTGAGCACCGTGAGGTATAGCCAAAAAAAAAAAAAAGTTTCAAAAAACAGAAAAGAAACTAGAAACTAGGAAGGGATGGAATGAAGGGAAATGTATTTAGATTTTTTTAAAGCTGTATGAAAATTTTTACTGAAGTACGATGGTTTTATTAAAAATTTTAGAGGGGTCGAAGAGATGGTTCAGTGGGTAGAGTGCTTGGCCTTGTATCCGACCAGCCAGGGGTCTATCTGAGTACTGCAAGGGTCCCTCAGCCTGCCAGCAGTGATCCTGGAGCAAGCCCAGAGCACAGAACCAGGAATGAGCCCTGAGCACCTCTTGGTGTGGCCCCAAAACAAACACACAAAAATTTTCTAACTTAAGTGTGAGGGGGGAAAAGAGACACAGAGAGAGTCAGGAGGGAGCACAGGCTTCTCTGCGGGCGGGGGGGGGGGCGGGGCAAAAAGTAAAAAAATTCACTTTTAAGTATAACTTTTCGTTTAAATTGTGGTTTAATATTGTTGTATATAATGGCTTTCCAAAGGAAGGAAGGATTCTGCCCATGAAGAGTTTGCCCTTTAATAAGAGCAATGGAAAACCAGCAAAGTTGATCCAAATCAACATTTCTCAGAGCACTGGAAAAAGCCAAATTCTTGCACCAACTATCTAGCATTTAAGGGCTGGAGAGATAATATAGCAGGTAGGGCACTTGCCTCGCAGCAGACCAGGGTCCAATCCCTGGCACCCATATAATCCACAGAGCACTACCAGGAGTGATCCCTGAGCACTGCTGGGTGTGGCCCCAAAACAAAAACAAGCAACTATTTAGCATTTTTTTAAAGCTGGGGACCGGATAGCTTAACATTAGGGTGCTTGCCTTACATGTGACAGATGTGGGTTCGCTCCCCAGCACCCTAAGTGGTCCTTTGAGCATCACCAGGAATGATCCCTGAGCACAGAGCCAGGAGTAGGCCCTAAGTAGGCCCCACCCCACCAGGTGGGGCCAAAAAATAAATAACAGCTGCGTCTCAATAGAAGCTGTATAAGCTCAAACTTCTCCTCTGTCTGTGCTCCTACTCCCTAAATCGCCTCCCCAGCCCCAAAGCCAGCTCTGGGAATTAACAACCGCTTCCTTGTACGTGTAACTGAAAGAGAGTGGCAGCTCTTCTCAGGAATAAGCTCCAATCTCAAATAACCATCATCGGACTGGAGAGTTAGTACAGCGGATAAGACCCATGCCTTGCATGAAACCAACCCAGCTCAGTCCCCAGCATCCCATGTGGACCCCAAGCACCGTCAGGAATAATTCCTATGTGCAGAGCCAGGAATAAGCCCTGAGCACTGCTGGGTGTGCCCCCAAAGTCAAACCAAATAAATATCCATCATTATTTGACCAACCCACTAGCTCCCTGAAAAGGCTCCTATTTATTTGGTCTTCCTGGAACTGGCCTCACCCTAATGGCTTCTCCTCTGGGGTTGTTTGGTGAATGTTTTCACATCCAGACTACAGGTAACAGTTATGGCAAACTGTAAAGGAAGCAAGAAGCTTAAAAGGAGTTGCTGGGGGTGAGATGCCCACAAGGGCTTTGAAACACATTATTTCTAAGACTGTTCCCCACCCCCCACCCCCACCCAACTTACCCAAGGCCACAAGCATGCCTCTCCGGATCCTCACCTAGGATGTCACATAAAAGCACATAAAAGCTCTCTGCTCTCTGTCCCAAGATCTCCTAGCTGGCCTTGGTGTCTCTCTGTGTGGCCCTGTGCAGCTTCCTATTAAAACCAGCCCCAAAGAAATTTCGAGCTGAATTCAGAATTAAAAGCAGCAGATTCGGGCAGTTCAACAGCCAGAGTGCAGACTTCGCATGCAAGAGGCCTGACTCCGACCCCCAAGCACCACATGGTCCCCAAGCTGCCGGGAATGACCCCAAGTTCTGTTATTGGGAGTAGCCCCTGAACACTGCTGGGTGAGACCCTGAAACTAACCAAGCAGCAACCTCTTCTAGGCAGGCTGAGGCTGTGGAGAATGTAAAGAATTTTCCCTTTATAGGCTGGAGAGCTAGTCCAGGCTTTTAGATGCTTGCCTTACATGTAGCCAACGCTGATTCCATCCCTAGCACCATATGGTCCCCTGAGCACTGTCAGGTGTGAACATAGAAAGCCATATTCCCTTATCTTTCCTCCACAAAAGGTCATTATCTAGGCACTGTTCAGGGGTTACTCCTGACTTTGCACTCAGGGATTACTCCTGGCAGAGCTCAGGAGACCATATGTGATGCCTGGGATCAAATCCAGGTTGGCTGTGTACAAGGCAAGCACCTACCCACTGAACAAATTATCGCCTGGGTCCAGAATTTTTTTGGGGGGGGGACACACCCAGTGGTGCTCAGGGGTTACTCCTGACTCTGCACTCAGGAATCACTACTGGCAAAGCTTAGGGGACCTTATGGGATACTAGGGATGGAACAGGGTTGGCTACATGTAAGGCAAGCATCTTGATCTACTGGCAGGTCCAAGTCGGCTGCATGTAAGGCCTTATCTGGTGTACTATCTCTCCAGCCCTTGAAAATGTTTGAATTATGCCCCAGAAGACCAGTCCACAAAAGCCAGGAAATATTGCATGAGACCTGCGTTTGGCTCCTGACACTGCAAACAAACAAAAAGATCCAGAATAAAAAAGTTCAATTCCCTCCCCGCCACCAAAAAAAAAAAAAAAAACCTGATTGATCATGCTGATGATTTTTTTTTTTAAATAGATCTCCCTGTTGTTCTGTATCTGCTGTTTCTGACTGTGTAGACAAGATGGTTCTATGATGGACATCTTCCAGCCCGCCAAGAAGCCCTTTCTCTACCTGTTACTTGTTTTCTCATTGATCGGCCCCATCTGGGGCAGAACCAGATCAGAGGCCACAATTTGGCAAGCCAGCCAGGAGTTGGGGTTCCACTGTGTTGAGCAGGCCTGGACCAGGAAATTGTCAGGTCAGCCATGCCTGGCCCGCAGGGCTCACTTTCTCCTGGGACTGTCCTCTCTTTCCTGACCTGCTGACACTGCCTC